CACCATGTATTATAAAAGTAAACATGAGTTTGTGTGTGCGCTTTTCGTTGGTATTAATTATCATGATGATAATATAATATTTAGTTTTATATTTTACAGATGAGATATAAAGATTATTTAAATGACTATTTGATGTATTTTTTGAGTTGATGGGTAACCAACAACTTAACGTGATTTTCATAGATTAAAATCAAACAATGATTAATGCAATACATTGTAAGTATTCTAATACTTGTCATAAATTATATCAATAGCATATTGGACAAAATGTTTCTTTAAACTTTGAAAATTTAAATAGTGACGTGAAGTTCAAATCTTTGGGAAAAAATACATGAATTTTTATAAATATGAAGATGAGTTTGAAGCAATATAGAAGATACTTGTGAATGATGCTGGAAAGAACAATGATTTTCATGTATAAAATAAGGTAAAAATGTCAACACTTTTTTGTCTTGATATAATTTTGACAAGACTCGTGACAACATCTCGAAGTGAAGACACTAATACGGAATTGAAAATAATACATCCACCCTATTACATTGTGTTTATAGCTACAAAACTTTTTTGATGCGCTGATGAATAAATAAAAAAAAAAAAAAATAGAAAGAGAAATAATATTGAATCTCTTCGTAAAAAGTTCTTACTTTTTAATTCACACAATTTATTGACAAAACAAGTTGCTATGGTGTATACACGTCAAAATTTAAAATTGTTTGACAACGAAATGTAAGAGCAATTTTCGAATTGATGCATTGAAGAACCTCGATATCCAAATTCTTGCTTGAGAATTTTGAAAACAATGCCTCTTAGTCGTGACTCAAAATGTCACATTGTTCGTATAGTTGAAAGGTTAATCATGCTATAATATTCGATTGATAACATTTATTTGCTTTTTCTGCAATATGATGTCAACCTTAGTTGAAATGTTGTTTATTATATTATCTAATATGTATTTTTCGTATATATATAAATATAATATGTATATATAATATTCACTTCACAACTTTTTTCAATATAATAATATTTTGAAGTGAAAATATACTTTGGGGCTATTAGAGATGCTTTTGAGGTCATCTCCAACATATTCTCTATTTTCAATTTTTTTGGCCAAAATATCTTTTAAATTTTAACTTCATTCCAGTCAACTCTATTTTTTTAAAAAAAAATATATTCCACTTATATTTTTTATTCTTAAACAATTACATAACATTTATTCAACTTTTATTTATTTACATATTAATCTCAAAAATATTTTGGTGTAATATAATGTTAATTTATTTTATATTATGTAATATTTTAATAATGCCATATACATATTTACGCAATATGAATAATTATATATAATTTATAATTTATAAAATAATACAAAATATAAAAAAAAATTAAAAAATACTAAATATATAAAAAAAAAAAAACAAAAGATTTAAAGGACCAACATGACATAAAAAAAAAAAAAAAACTTTTACTTCAAATTTGAATAATATACAGTGTTCCTTCAAATATAGATAAAAGAATGGCTTCCGTTGGATTAGTTTTGCTCCAATTATAGAGAATTTCTCCATAATTGAAGACGGTTAGAGTTGATATAAGTAGATGGATTTCTTTGAACAATTTAAGCAAAACCAATTTACCTTGGACACTTTATATAGTTTGTATCTTTTGCTTTGGATTTTATAAAAAGAATGTTGGTTGATTTTTGTTATACTGTCATGATGATGCGTTGCGATATGCCAAATTTTATTAAATATCAATTTAGTAGTTTAATGATTATTGTTGCATTGTAAGAAAATAAAATACTAGTCAGGTTTCTTCTAAGTACACACCGCACACATACAAAATATCATTCATTCCTCACATCATTATAATATATATATATTGATTGGAAATGCCAAGAATTGGTTGAGCGTATTATGAAATATGAATGAATAAATCAATGTCTCGAATCTACGTATTCAAATCTAGATAATCAACAACCACACTAAATTTAAAAAACAAAAACCGTCAATGGCGAAGGGAGGAAAACTCCCATAATCAAGTCGGTGCTGAAAAAGATGCAGTTCTTCAAGCTTGGCCACACTATAATTCATTCCTCACATCATATATAGATTGGAAATGCCAAGAATTGGTTGAGGATATTATGAAATATGAATGAATAAATCAATGTCTTGAATCTACATATTCAAAACTAGATAATCAACAACCACACTAAATTTAAAAAACAAAAACTGTCAATGGCGAAGGGAGGAAAACTCACCATAATAAAGTCGGTGTTGAAAAAGATACAGTCCTTCAAGCTCGGCCACACCCATTCCAACTCAATTTCCGTCGGTAATTTCTCCGACGAGTGCTCATCCAAGGATCTCCACGCTGTCTACATCGGTAAATTGTGGCGGCGCTACTTCGTGACTTCCGAAGCGGTGGAGAATATGCTCTTCCACGAGCTCGCTGAGCGTCGCGGAGATGAGTTGTCGATAACCGTCGGATGTGAAGTGGTTCTATTCGAGCACCTTCTGTGAATGCTCGAGAACGCCGAACCGAAGCCGGAATCGCTAGACGAGCTCGTTATGTTCTACTCGTGCTAGCCGCTGCGTTAGCATCGGGAGTGATTGCATGCGGACGTCCATATTGTACGGTGTATAGATGAAAGTTATACTGTATTAATGTATGTATGTATCAGTTGGATGCTTTGTTTTGTTTTTCCCATTGTCAATACTCCAATTGATTGACGGTATAAAAAAATAAAATTAGATAATCAACACAAGAAATTTATGTACATTCAAAACCATTTTCAACAAGAATACAACTAATTGATGTGAAAGACAATAAATTATATTAAATATCTTATACATCAGAAGTACATAAAATATATCATACAACAACAATAGTGTTCTTTTAATGAAGATAAAAAATGTCTTTACACACTTATAAATGGAATAATAATAACAATAATATGTAAATATAAATAGTATAATGTAGGTGTTTATAGGGTATATGAAGAATGACAATATGCAATATTATCTCAAATTTGTATCATATGGTAAAAGATAGTTGAATTGGTTGGAAAGATACAATATTGCAGTGGAATTTGTGATCGGGGTTAAGTATATCCACATAATTCATAAATCTTGTCCATGACTCTGAAATTTTGAAATAATCTCGTGAATAATAACACGAAAACTCATACTCCCTCCGTCCCATTGAAAGGTTACCATTTTTTATTTTCGTCCGTCTCAAAACATGGTTACCATTTACTAATTTAGTAACTGTACTACCTACCTAACATAATAAATACCCTTTCAACTTACAACATGTTACACAAATGCCATTACTTTTATATTACACTATACTAATAGGGGTATTTTTGTCATTTTCACTATAATCCAATATAATACTAATATTAAAAAATCTACGTGCAAAAAACAAACGTCACCCTTCCAATGGGACGGAAGGAGTATTACATATTTTGCGATAGTTACAACGATACTTGATGCAAACATGCTTGTTACAACTTCAAGGGTGATAGAAATGGTAGGATACATAGCACTTAAGTGTTACCATATATTTGCTTGATAAATATACACATACATTAATGTGACTAATACAATAACTATGATAATATCTAGTTAACAATAAAATCAAATATTGTATTATTAAAATTGAATAAATACACATAATATCGGGTATGTTTCTTTTGATGGAGTTTGAAAAATTTTGCTTAGAGTTTGGTGTTAAAATAATGTATAATAAAATATTTTGTAAGAGAATTTTTTTTTTAATAACGCGGAGTCCAAATAGTAAAAATTTGGGTTTGAGATTAAAGAAACAAACCCATTACGTTATAGTTAAAATATCTAATCATATCACACATACCAAAAAAATTAAAAGTATTTTGATAAAAAGTTGTAAATGAAACTCATTCTTAATAGAACTAAAATCAACTTTGTTAAAGTCAAGAAAAATATCATATTACTACCGAAATAATTAATATATTAAAAAATAACTATAATTAACTAATGAATTTCAAATATTTAACTTTAAATCTATCTCTAAAAAAATAATTTGCAAATCCTTAAAAATATATATATATATATATATACAAAAACGATTGATTTAGACCAATGTTTTGAATTCCATTGGAGTTAACCTTATCCAAATAAATAGCCCCTAATGTTTTTCCATGTTTGTGTTCATTATTCAAGCATTTTACTTAGCACTAATTAAGAAAGATAATAATGGATCTTAGTCAATCTAATATTTTTTCTTATATTAAAGATATGTGATGCATAAACGGTTGAATATTTCTAAGCTACATTAAACAATTTTATCTAAAAATATATGATGAAATTAGTACGTGAACTTCAATTTTTTGAAAAAGGCAAAAAAAAAAAAGAAAAAAAGAAAAAAAGAAAAAAAGAATAATAACTTAACCAAAAGAATTTATATTTGATTATTATTTCACTTAAATATATATTTTTAAAAAATATCTAAAATTTTGAATAATTCTATAATGATATTATTATAATTTTAATTATACAAGACTATTAAACGAGACAAGCATAACATTCTTGATTCCAAGTGTACTAATGATCTAACATATTCAATAACAAATAAATTGAATTATACATATATTGAGCAATTTTTGATTAAAAATGGAGTAAACAACAACATGAAAAATTAATTGAACAAAAATGCTAAAAACTCCTAAATAACAAAAGAATGAATAATTTACACATAACAAAATCAACATATATTGTAATATTCATTCGTCAACAAACGTACACAGTAACATTAAAATATCTCGATATAAGATTTATATATATATACAACTTGTATTATTTGTGAGTCCAAATTCAACTTTTGAACAATTAATTGAATTATCTATGTTCGTCAGCTTACATAAATATATATTATAGCTAGTAGCATTATACATATAGGTCAATATTGTACACTTATCAATTATACAAAATTGCAATAATTATTTATCTTTATAAATGTATATGTACAGCTTAATACTCAATTCATTCAAATTTAAACACTCCTTAATAATTTTGTAATAATAAATATAATTATATAAAAAATAATAATCATACTTATATATCATCGAATATATATATATAATTCAATGATGAAAATCCAAAAAGCAACGTACAGATATTAGGTTGTCTCTTTATTGCAGTAATGGTGACGGATGCATCTATTGCAAGGGATCAGATCCTCGGAGTAGTAATACATGTAAATGGGACTTTATATTGTACTTCAAAGGGAAGTTCGGACGGGCCTTCAACTCCTAATTTTCCTAGTAAGTTTCGCTCTATTTACTCATGCAATATACATTACTTCATATTTTGATTTTTGTTTTTCTTATATATATTGATTAAGTTATTTTGATAAAAAAATAATAATAATAATAATAATTTATATTAAAATTAATAATGTATGATAATAGATAAGGTATGAATAGATTCAAAATCTGAATTGAATACAATTATTTATATTTAATTTGATCTTGAATTGAACTCAATCATACATACATTTGATTATACAACATATATAGGCTCAACAAGATTCAATCAACCCGTAAATTTCGAATATACATCATAAAAAATAAAAAAAGAAATTTATATTTCTACTGAACCTAAACACGAATAACCAATAATTTAATTTTGCAAATAATAATAATAAGTGAAAGAAGAAGAAAACTAAACAAAAATATTGATTTTTTTTTTAAAAAAAATAAAGTTAAACAAGTAACAAAAATAATCCAAACTATATTTAAAATATTTCGAACATATATATATGAAATATATATAATTTATTTTCAGGTTGAATAAACAATAAACCTTGATTTGGATCCTATATGATATATAATTAATTAAATTATATATTTTTTTTAATAAATCGAATATGGGTCGAGTTTAGATATATTCATATATATCCAATGTCATCCTTACAAAAAAATAAGTATTATGTATGAATTTTAAATATTTTAAATAAGAAATATGTTTCTAAAAAATATGTTTCTAAAATAGTATTATAAAGAAAATATATTTATTAAATGTAATATTTTTTAAGAGAAAAAATACTGCAAATCATATAGTAGATTAAAAATAAATAAATAAATAAATTCTTAATATTTTATTTTTTTTCAACGTGATAAAACTAAAAGTTTAATAAATTTCTACGTAGATGCCATCGTTCAAGTTGCATGCAGTGCTAACGCGATATATAATGCACCGACAAATGTAACTACCAACTCAAATAGAGCGTATTTGGTGGTGTTGCTCCGAGGTCCTAATGCAACTGTTACTACAGTGATCTCCAATTACAAAATTTTCGTTCTTACACCACTTTCAACTTGCAACCAATCGTTGCCTTCAACCGGCCTTTTGTTAAACTTGAGCTTTGTTAAGACTATTCAATCCGGATTTATGCTTCTCACTTATATGGTTGCATTTGGTTTTACGGTGTAGCCCAATTGTGCGCCTTTGTATAGCTATTTCAGTGTATTCGTCGAAAGATACGAATTATTGATTTGAACTAGTGAAACGTTTGTAGAGCAAAAATTCATGTGTTGTGTTCTATTTATTAATCATGGTATATTTAAATAAAATTGTATTTCAAACTTTTTATGCTATATTGTCCGAACACAAAGATTAAAATATAATAATATTCTAATGTAAAATTGAAATAAATAAAAAGTAAAATGAGGTAGCATAAGAAATTTATGAAAAAATTATTGAAAAGTAGTGAAGTAAATAGAAAATACAGTGACAAATTAATTATTATTTGTTAAAATATGATAATAAAACTGTGGATAGATAAAGTTGTTTAATGATTAGCTGATAAAAAAAAAAAAAAAACTATATAATTATGTCGGATGGAGGAAGTATGATTAATCAATTGATTATCCATAAGTATAGTTGATTTTTATTTTGTTGATTGACTATATAATTTTTGTTTTAAGAAATTGGTTCAATACTATTGTACACCTCTTAGGGTGAAGGCCCAAATAAAGTTCGGCTAAATGACTGTTGGACCTTATTTGCTAATATTCTTGGACAAAATATTTTGTTACTTTTTTCGAGCCAAAAAATGTACAGAAAAAAAGTGAATACATTTTTAAATTGACAAAATAATAATAATAATAATAATAATAATAATAAATATTGAATATAATTTTGTGAAAGCAGAAAAATAATAATTATAATTTATAAGAAAAATTGCAAAAAAATAAATAAATAAAAATCATGTTAAATATACCTCGAGCCTAGTCTAAATATAATCGAAACAAGACATAATTTAATTTGATTTGAATCTCGGGTTTCATGATGTGTGTTTGATCGGGTCTCGGGTCCAGCCATGCGGACCATTGTCATCCCTAATTGAATTTGCTTTTTGTCCTTTATTTGAGTATAAAAGTGTGGAATAAATCAGAAATAAATCATAATTGTCATTTTTCTTTCACATCCAAAAAAAAAAAGGCCAGTTGTTTCCTTGCTGGCTTTCATGACTGTAGTCTGTATATACCAATTGGACCTTATCCTAATCCAATATGTGTATATATATGTTATAGAATGAATGAATAGAATAGATAATAAAGTGTTACCATGAAAACCCTAAAAGGCATGGCAAATATTTTTGGTGTTATAATAGCAGCAGCAGCAACTATGGCAGTTGCAGAATGTGCCCAAAGCCATACCTATGGAATAGTTCATGTCAATGGAACTCTTTTCTGCTCCTGCAATGGAAATGAAACATCGAACACACCACCACCATCATCTTCTTCGTCTCCACCTTTCCACAGTGAGTTCATATTTACCATCATCACTAAAATCAAATGATCCATTTTAGAAGTTCTTACCCCATTAAATGTCTTTCTTTCTTCCGACTGCAGATGCAAAGGTGCGTGTGCAATGCACTGCAGATGTCATAGCCAATGAACGGGCGCCAAGCGATGTGACCAAGTCCAACGGGGCATATTTGGTGGTGCTGGTCCCTCGTCCCAACGCTGCTGTTAGTTCCATACTCTCCGCCTGCAAGATCTTTGTTCTTACGCCCCTCGCCAGTTGCCACCCGTCTCTGCCACAAGCCGGGCTTGTGTCCAGCTTGAAGTATGTTGAGACCGTCCCATTTGGATCTTTGTACATCACTTACCTGGCTGCATCTGGCTTCACTCTCCGAGTTTAGATCAGCCCCGAGACAACAATCGCTACGTCAATACATATGTGAAAAGAAAATAACAGTTTGTAGAGAGTCTACCTCAAAATAATCGAGCATCCTTAACCTGTTCCGCCTAGATACAACACATGTATGTGTATATATATATATAGTTCGCTTTCCAGTTGCCTTGAATATGCTAACATATATGTCAATTTGGGAAAATGAATATTCTACTAAAGAAAGGCGGCAAATCAAAACAGTGATGCTAAAAATAGTCGATAAACCAAACTACCTACAAGATCGACTTTCCTCCAAACAGTAAACCAACAAATTGCAAAGGAGTCAATTTAACCATAACATCCCCACAAGACTTCTTGCATACGTTCAACAAACGGATAAAACACCATAAACAGCATAATAATATACTTATTGGATACACAAGTTACAGCTGAATCCTATACATTCGCCGTCCAGCACTTGTTAGTTGCAGAGCGAGAAAACCTGAGGCGACATCCGCATTTCCAAGATTCATCACTACTGGTGGGCGTTCAGCACTGCTTGGTAAACCATATCGATGAATTGGTTGTCCTGCACAGAATAATTTAAGTGCATAAGATCAAAGTCAACATTTAAGAACATGATGCAAAAGGTGGCCAATTCAATTCTACTTTGATTGTATTAATTTAGCTTTCTCACCAATTAGACTGAAGAAAATAAAATTCTGTGAGTGTTAGATAAATAAAAATTTTAATTCTTGCAAGGATTCGCTGCCTAAAAGAGTATTGAACTTTCAAACAGAATTGATTTCTAGCATTTGCTTCAAATTATAACAGATAAAGTTAACAAAAAAAAAAAGACGCAAGCAACAGAGTATGCCATAGCGTAAAGGCCCAAGAATTTCACAGTTGAGGACCAAACTAACGGACCTGGTTTTGCTGTGTTATAATATTTGGCAAAAGAAAACACTAGACGAAGATTAAAACACCAGACCAAGCAAAACCATGCTCAAGAATGAAATGCTCATTATCCGATCAAAAAAAGAAATGAAATGCTCATTAGACAACAACGAGAGAGAGAACAATTAATACCTGAACAAGTACTTGAAGTGCATCCCTGACCTTGTCTCTGCTTATAACAGGCCCATAGTTCGGTGTAGGGGCTGAAGTTGGAGTGAGAGATGGTGGGGGTGTTGGAGGTGGAAAAGGCTGAAGTAAGGGTGCACCATAGGGTCGCTGTACATTTCCTGGCGGATTTAGAGGAGGGGCGGTGGGAACAGATGAAGTGATAGGAGGCATAATAAGTGGAGAGGAGGCGGTAGGTGGGCCAAAAAATGACGAAGGTTTCACAAGATCAGTTGAACGGCTTGCAGCAGTAGTATTGGATTCAGTTTTTTCAAGAAGGGACAGTATAGGTGATGAAGTAGATAAACCAGCCGGTGTCTGAGAAGATGATATAGTGGGTGGAGTGATAATCGGAGGATGAGCAGGAACAGCAGTTGCAGAGGTCTGGAATGGTGGCCCAGAAATTGCTGCATTCGGGGCACTTCCAACATTTATAGCACTCTGCATACAATTACTTTTCTATAAGTTATCCATAAAAGCAATTGTAAGGACAGACAATCGTTTAGTGCTAACTGCTAAGAAAGAATCAGATTGGAAGTCAGGTGAATACTGGAATTGGAAATTATAATAAGTTGCATCATTATTTTTTCACAAGGCATGCGCTCACTGGAGATTTTCGATGACTCCTAATCAATAACATAGGACTCTATATTTTATGCCTCCTAATCACTAGCACAGGACTTAATATACCAATAATGCACAAACTTCTCATTATGATGACTTTTATGTCTCAGCACTAATTTAGAACACTGACGTGTACCCTTTTCTATCATCCAAACTAGAATAAAGATGGATATATCAGAAGATTCCCAACAGTATTCTGCACCATTTTACAATTTCTTTACAGTTACTGCTGATTAAAATTAATAACTGAATCAAGACAAGAAATCAGGAGCATTTGCATACACCCAACTGGTGACTGTGAATCAGTCTATAACTAAACATGTAAAAATTTAAGAAGTTAATCACCAGCATCATTCAAACAATCCAGTAGGCATATGCCAGAGATGCCTGAGATAGGTAATGGATCCATATAGTAATGACTTTACAAACTAACTTTTCAGCATTCAACTAGCTATGAAATGGCAGTAATGTCATATCTGTTATCTATGGAAAATAAATAGATGACATTAAATAACAGAAGAGATGAAATCATACACTGAAGAAGTTCACAAAAGCGCGATCATCAGGTGTCTCTGTAACATTGGAGGTAGAAGATGGAGGCTCGAGGGGACCATCCATTACTGATAGCGTTGGAACTGCCTCCAGTTCTTCAAAATCACTGCTACAAACAGAAAAGATAATTAAATGCAGCTGACTGTGTTCTTCAATTTTCAAGCCAAAAAGACTTCGAGTTAATGGAGATGAGGGGAGGAAACTTAACCTCCCAGGAGAGATGAGAGAGAGTGAGAGAGAGAGAGAGGGGTGTTGGGTGAGGGGGAGGTGAAGTGAGAAATCACGAGCAAGAGAGAGTGCAAGGTAAATGAGGGAGGAGGGTGATAGATAGAAAGAGAAATGATCTTGTTGCCTCAGGTGAGAATAAATTTTTTCGTAAGTTAATTTTGTTCCGAAGATGGATTTGGGTTATGATGCATGACGGAACTCCCTCAGTTGAGCAGGTTGGTCACTTGGAGCAACGTAACATATAGGCCCAAACAGTTCTTCATTTTTTTTTCCAGAATTGAGAAATTGGAAGTCCATTATGAATTACAAGACAGAAAGCACAATTTGTATAAGAACCACAAACAAGATAGCTAGAATACCTTATACGACCTCACAGGATCTTGTTTTAGTTCTAAAATCCAGACAGATCAACTAGTAAAACTATTCTAAAACAGGCAGAAATATAAGCTGTAAATAAACATCAATTAATTAAGATTCATAATAGAACAGATTCCAACAGATAAGAATAAATTGAAAGCATGTTTAATCTGACCATTTATGCATGGATAATAAAAAATCTACAGCATTTAATATGTACTTATTGACTCTTAGCCGGGGAAAAGCAATTACCTTTTCGAGGGAGATACTTTAGACTTTGTAGGCACCTTGGAATATGCATTAAGTATCCTATGAAAACGTGTAACACTGACATTAGAATGCTGTGTATCAAATAGATATGTCAAACAAATCAGATGATAAGGTTAAAATATGGGTGATAATTTCCATCTAAAATGAACCATAACTAAATTCAAGAGTTTGTTTTTGGTTTTCAACCTTAGGTGCTACCACAGCATGTGAGACTCTACCGTAAAAAGTTTAAGTCCAGAGGCAAAAGGATTGGTATTACCAGAATACTTCCAAGTAAAAACAAAAAGGGAGGAATCAATTATATGAAATTAACACAAAAATTAATCTTCCAAAATGAAGTAATTCACTTTTTCCCTAAGTTACATTTTGCATTACTTCCCCAAAGCCATTAACTTTGTGTTATCCCCCACCTGTAACAGTAGATTAAGGAATTTTAAATCATGCCACTATAGCATCCACAAATGAATCCAAAGTCAGAAGACTACTTATGAATTTCACTTGTCATCTGATATTGCTCAACCAACATAAAAGTAGCCAAAACAATAATAAGAATAATAATGGGAGATAACTTCAATACCAACCTGCTAAATAGATTTGCAACTTCTTCACATTCACGAGGATTGTAGAACCAGATTCCATTAACCTCCTGTGTAGCATTTCGGTATAACAAATATGGAACCTGCACTTCATACTCAAAATCCCCCAAGAGATTCTCCACCAGATTATCTGTTTACAGCAAAAACAGAAATTAAATATAGTGATGCAAACTATGCTTGTAAGAAGTGAAGATGTGGAGAGGAACAAAAGCTGTTCAGAGCTTCAGTTTGTGGAGCATTACACCATGGCACTTATCAGAGCAATCCATTGTGTATTTTATATCATCAAGAACTTGTACATCATATTCATGACACAATAAGAATTAACAACAATCACATTAGTTTAAATAAACTAAAATAAGATGGTTCAACATGTAATTAGCAATTTTACAAGTTAAATTATTGGTTTTTGCAACCCATAGCCAGCCAACCCCACTTAAATAACCATGATATATGCAACTGGTTTATAGCTCTACCTTGACACCAAACATTAGTTCAGAATGATATAAAAACTCATTTTAAACTCTCATCCTATTTCTCATCCTCCTTTTATGTCCATTGGAAGTTTGATGCAAATTAAACTAATTCATGGGTGTGAAACACCTATGATGTCATCATTTGAACTGTCTTACAGTTCAATTGAACATCCAAGATTACGAGTCATGAGCTAAGTCGATGACTCCATTCTCCACGGGAGCAAAGTGCATTACTAATATTTTATTAACCATTCCCATTTTGGGGGATAATGTTAGTGTGAGGACTCTTTCAAACTTTCATTACCATTCCCAAATCATAGCACTTCATTTGTCAGGGCATATGCATGTTCCCCAATCCCCACCAAAACATTAAATCCAAATGCGTCAAATTTACAAGACAGAAGCACCAATGTGGCATCAATAACCCAAAGCCCCAAACCCCCAAATCCAACCCTATATCAAGGAAAGGGACTAAATTGACTTACCGGTGTTGCGACGATTCATTACTATAAATTGGAACCGTGGTTGAGTATTCCTACATAACAAAGTGAGCATTTCACAATTAATACAAAATCCAGATCCCCAAATTCAGATTAACCTAAGTCATAGATTCAGCAGAATCATCTGAGCCCAAAACTCAATCTTAACCACAAAAATTACAACCACCTAAGAACAACCGCACCTTTTCACCACAAAAAGCGAGCCTTCCACATCCTTCCGACTCTACAACCAACCAAAGATGAAACACAAATTTATATCTTAAAACAAAGAAAACAGAAAAATTAAACCCTACAATCCACCCAACACAAAGATTCACACACACGCACGAGTGACAGACAACATACCCACTGACTAGTGTCGATGTTGAATTCGTAGAAGGTAACGTGACCGGCGGTGATTAGAATTTCCTCAACAAAGGGATCGATCCTCTGCAGCACCGTCAAATTGAGCAACTTGGTGCTCTTCTCATCCAGATTCGGCATCAATTTCCCGTTCTGCGACATCGGCCCGCGCACTTGCTGCCAACCCTTAGCTTCAACAATGGATGGATACAACTGGCGAGTGGAGAACGTGAGACGCCTGCAGATGAAACTCTTGGGGAGTCGAGAGTCGGATTTCAATGGAACTGCGGGGTCGGTGGTGAGACGATGGGCGTATATGCAATGACTCTTGTGCCCCTGCAAGTTATGTTGAGTAGTGGAGGGTATATGTGGAATTTAACATGGGGAGAGGCTTCCTCAGCCGCAAGGTTTAGCATTACATTAATGGCAACAGGTATCATCGTAATAATATATCCTCGGAGTGAGTCAAATTTGTTTGTTTTGTAATTTAATTATTTTTTTAAATTAATAAATTTTCGATAGATAAAATATTTTAATATTATCTAAAGAAATATTATATTATTTTAGTTAAATATTTTAGATATAGAATATATAATGAGATTTTTATTTTTTAGTTTTATATTGCAATACATAGTTTACTAGTTTTGTATTTTAATTAAATATTTTAGATATAGAATATATAATGGGATTTTAATATATGTGTGTTTGATTGGAAATTTGGATTTTGAGTTGGGATTTAAATAGTAAAAATTTTGAATTTGAATTGTTGTATAATGTGATATAAATAGGTGTTGATGCAATGTTTTGAATGTAAAATTGATTTTTAATATAATATAAAAAATAAAAAATAAGTGTTTGATTTGATATTTTTTTAAAAAAAAATTGGATGAATAGAATATTTGAAAGGAAATTAAAGACAAACAAACACACAATTAAAGACAGAAATTGAGAGGGAGGTAAGAAACCAAACAAACAACTGATAAAATAGATCAACACTCCCATTCTTTAATCAAATCAAACCAAAAGACTATTTGCTTCCCAAACACCAAGCAAGCATTTACACATACATTATACATATATATATATATAACTATTCACTCAAAACAAAAACAATCGAACATCACATTAATTATCACACTCCATACATACATATATATATATATATATATAAATGGCTTCGGCAAACAAGCTGCCATTTTTCAAATTTTTTAACGATATGAAAATGATCAGTGGCGGCGGAGGGCGACGGCGGAGAGCACAACCAAGAATATGAGAAGGCCGGCGGCAATGAAGGAAGCCACGACGGCGCCGCTCACCCGCTGGCAGAAGTCTGTGAACTGCTGGCAAATCGCGAACCAGTTGGCGTTCGCGTTCCCGTTGTGGGCCAAGTACACGATCGCTGCCGCCGCAGACGCCGCCGCCGTCGTTAAAGCCACCGCTAACTGAGTACACAGTGTATCAATTGTATATAATTAGTCAATACAATATCGACACCATATGTAATATATATTATACTTCCTCAATGTCTCGTAGGACCCTTTTTAAATTAGGGATATACTATTTTAGAATTAATAACTTATTAATAATAAGTTACGATATTATTTTATTATTTTTTATATGAGTACGTGTTTGTTGGTATTTTAAATATTTTTAGTATTATATTTCAATAAAATATAATACCTCATTTACTTTAGCGTATCTTTGAATATTGATTAAAATTACAAAAATACTTTTATCAGTGTCTTATAATACTAATATAAGAATATTTTTACAAAAAAAAATTATACAAATATAAAAATATTTTTAAGATTAAAGATAATGACACAAAATATAAATATGATCTTTAGAGGCGGACTAAGAGAATATACAATAAGAATGATTGAAATATTACTTAGTATATACTACAAATAAATAAATAAAAATATTTGTAATTAACTTAAAACTAATTTTATAAAACAATTAGTTTTAAATATAGATAAAAATATTTGTTTATTGAGAAGATATATAAAAATAAAAGAATTTTGAGTGATCGTAACATATTAAAAATTTAATTAAATTTATTTATATTTATTAAATATGATTAAGATGAATAATTTATTAAATAAAAAGATATTATCTTTTATGGAACAGAAAAAAAAATGATCTTCTGTCGCGGGCGGAAAGGAGTATAATTTATTAGTACACTCACCATGTCCAAAATGAGCAGCAGAAGCTTTACTCCGACAAGATGAGCTCTGACAATGGCGACGATGGCGAACGGCAGAGAAAGTACTAAGTATCCTCCAACTATAGCGTTCGCCACTACGAAGAATCTGAACATTTAAATAAATGAAAAATAAATGACTTGATTTGATATTTTAAATAAAAATAATAATTTTTTTTTTCTAAGAGAGAGTACGCGAAAGCCGGGAGGTCGTCGTAGCTGGCTTGAAATTGGAAGAACTGAGTGAAGAAGGGAAGAGTTTCGTCGGTGGTGCCCATGGCGGCGGCGGCGGCGAGCGCGGCGGCGAGAGCGCAGAGCCTTAAAACGAAGTCAAATATAGCAATGCCTCGGCTGGCACGGCCGTGTTGTAGCGGCGTTGCCTTCGCCAGAGCCACGGCGGCGGCGGCGTCCCGCTTCGTCGATTTGGACTCGACATCGATGGCGGTTTCGCTCTTTGTCGACGATGCCATTTGCGTTTCGATTCGTTTTTTTTTTTTTTTTTTTAATAAAGAATATTGAGATGAGAATGGATTTGATACGAAATTAGAATGGTTTTGAGAGTGAGATTTATAGACTTGTTGGTATAATGTAATGTATGTAGAAATGGTGGGTTTGGTTGATTTTGGAGCAGTTGGAATCAATGCTAGAAATGAATGAATGTGGTGACCAATTAATCAATTAATAATGGAGTTGCTCCATATGTTGTAGGATTAGTTCCGAACTAAACTAGTTTGTTAATATTGGGTCAAGTATCACGGTAATGCTTGGATTTTGAGTTGGGATTTGAATAGTAAAAATTTTGAATTTGAATAGTTGTATGATGTGATATAAATAGGTGTTGATGTGATGTTTTGAATGTAAAATTGATTTTTAGTATAATATAAAAAATAAGAAAATGTGTTTTAATTTGATATTTTTTGGGGGAAAAAATTGGATGAATAGTGAAAAAAATCCAATCCCTCAGACAAACACACTTATCAGGTCTTGAGTCCAACGGTAGGGTCTAAATAGAGTCCAATTTTTTAAATTAAAATTTAAAAATTGTAAAAGTTTTTGCGAGTTTATTGGATTAATTGGATATAGTTCAAGTCAGTCTAGATATAATCAAATCCAATTCAGGTATCGGGCCCAACAATGTATATTCATATCGGGTATTAGACCCGACGATTATCATCCTTAACATTATTAATATATTTATTTGAAATTTAATTTTAATTTCATGTCCTCGAGATAGTGTCTTTGGTTTGAGTTTTTTCTTTTTTTAAGCTTTTTTTATTATTCATCATTATTCCGATAAAAAATACTCTCCGGCCAGAATAATTATTATATCAAAATATATTGTAAATAAAAAGAAAATGACAAAAATATATTTTATAATACAAATATAATGATAATTGTATAATATTAAATTAAATGCTTATTTTTTATTTTATATATTATAACAAACATTACTTTTACAACAATGATGAGGTTTAATAATTTTGTATTTTAGGATAAATGTATTTTTTACATGTTAAATATAAAGAAAAATGGTAGTAATATTAAAAATAATATTTTATACTGAATTGTTGATTTTCTATGACCCAATAACTATATATATTATATATATTGACTTAATATTTATATATTGTATCTTTAAATAATATTTATGGATGATTGTACCACAAAAAACACCAACTAAATAAATATTTCATTGCCTCTTATTATATTACATCAAACAACTATTAAAAATTAAAATTTTACTATTCATAGCCTCAACCACCAAAACAAAAAAAAAAAAAAAAAAATTCTTGTAGTTCTTCAAATTAGCTGAAAACTTCAGTTACCTGAAAATTTTATGAAAACTACTGATAGTTCCTAAAATGTTGAAAATTTCCATTTTGTTAGGATTCAATAGTAATTGTATTTCAAGCGCTCAAGGTGCGATTTTTTATTTATTTATTTTTTTTTGCAAAAATTGATACTATCACTGTATAAAATTACAAAAAATACTCTCGATATTTTAAATAAAGTTATTTTCTTTCTCCTTTCACTTTCTCTTTCTGTTATCTATTAATCAATTGGTCTTATTCATCAAATCTTATCTGTAAATTTTGAAATTGATTATTTGTGGTGATGAAGATGAGAGATTGGATATATTTAAAAAAAAAAAAATTGTAAAAGTTGTTAAATTTTGTGTAAAGAAATACACTATACACTATACACTATACACTGCTTAATCTTCTCCAAATTTTAGTGCAACAGATAGAATGTATTTATGGTTGACTGCCATGAGAACATAGAATCAACTCTGATGATGCCGGATAAGATTTCCTATAATCCTCCCAATCACCTCATCATCCGCACGGCTGGTGAAATCGTTAATCAAGCTCTCTCTGAACTCCTTGCTTAGACTCTAGTCAAAATCGAGTAGGAAGCTGTCGAAAATTTTAGCTCACTGTATGTCAAAGCCAAAGTCTCCGAAGAAATTGAAATTGAAATCGAAATCAGCGGATTTGGATACGGTGTCGTGAACCGCGGGAGGCTAGCGCGACGGGCGGAGTTTACCGTCGGAGTAATGTGGCCTTGGAGAAGGTATGAAAATACGATGGCATGACAATGGCCGTGGGACTTAGGTGAATAAAATGACTAAGACAAGGAAAGAAGAAGAAAAAGAATTAAGTGGATAAGAACGAAAGAAGATATGGAAGAGAGGAAGAAACAAGAAAAATAGGTGAAAAAGAAGAAGAAGTGCAAACAATAAGATGGTGTACAAAGAAGAAGAAAAGTAAATTAGAAATGACATAATGATAGACGTAAGTACAATTTAGAAGGAGCTGCCATATATCACCGGACTATAGGGGATAATATTTATGATTTTTGCAAATATATAGTAGGTATTAATTTTTTCTTTAATCCAAATAAAAAATCTATTTATTTAATATTTATATCATTTATTTTTTAGACCGTGATATAAATAGGCATTGATGTGATATTTTGAATGTAAAATTAATTTTTAATATAATATAAAAATAAAAAATAGATGTTTGATTTAACATTTTTAGGAGAAAAAATAGAATAAATAATATATTTAAAATTCAATCCGAGACAAGCAAACCCTTAATCTTATTGGATGCAGCTTACTATTTTATACACTGTATTTTGTAAATAATATCTTTAAAATGTATAATTGTATTGACTGTGGTGGGTCACTTTATGGTCACACTTTTTAGACCATAGTATTGTTACTTGTTAGTGGCGAATTTTGGGCGGCAACACTATATGTATATAAAGGGCTGTTTTTACCTAAATGCAGTGTTTGTTGACTGCTGGGGATGTGGAAAATTTTTGAGGGGAAAGAAATGGAGAAGAACAGAGTAGTAACCGTCTCTGCTCTGCAGTTCGCCTGCACCGACGATGTCACCGCCAACGTTGAGACGGCCGAGAGGTAATTGCACTTGCTAAAGCGTCTAATTATTGTACCTGTACTTTTTTTTTTTTTTTCTTTTTTTGTCGATTAGGTTTGGTTGGCGAGAGGAATTGTGGCGGTGTTGGAATCATTGCATTTTGTTTTGTTTGTTTTGGGTGCGAAGAAAGGTAGTGTGAGGAGGATGAGTCTAGGATCGTCTGTGTAGAATTTTTGTGCGGTTTCGTTGTCCTCTCTGGCTGGTGTTGAATTGATTCTTACTGGATATGTTTTGGTGTTTGGTGGTTCTTTTGGTTGCAGGTTGGTTAGAGTAGCTCACCAGAAGGGAGCGAATATCATTCTCATTCAGGTATGCGCCGTTTGTTTTGATTTGGTCTCATGGAGCTATGTAATTTTTTTTTTCAGATTTAATTAGGTATTTGCGGTAGATTTTTATCAGTTGTGTTTTGAATATGAAATTTTTGAATGGAAAATATTTGATGGATTTTGTAGTGTTCTAAATGAGAAATAGGCATTGGATTTGATGGTTGGGATGGAAAATAGGTTTTTGGATGATATTGTTGAGATGTAAAATAGGTTTTGGAGGTGTTACTTTAAATAAAAATAGCGTCGGATGTGATGTATTTTTGAGGGTTTTGAATTGTCATTCTCTGCTGAGAGAGTGATTCATTTCTTTAACTTGAATGAGTGCTCCTGGAAATACCATAGTTTGATACAATCTTGAAATTCAATTGTTCATCTCGCAACATAGAAAACAGAAGATACCAATCAACACACACACACATATACATATAGAAACGCCCGACAACCCCCTACATTAGAAACTAATACTTCTGGCCTCATTTTTAATTCGAAGCCATTTCCTGAAAAAAAAAAAAAAAAAAATGTGGCCTGATAACCCCCCAAAATTAATTGGTATGCCAACATTAGAATTTGATGCGTTTTTCTCCCCCTAATGACCTGATGGTACATATGAATATCAGTTGACCAGGAAATGTTTATGCACTGCGTTACTGCATTAGATTCTTGGCCTAGTGAGGTGCTTATTACTGATCTGAGATGAACACACCCTCTTCTTAAACTTTACCCAATTGACAAAAATTTGGTTGTTAATAATGCATTTAGTTGTCGTTGTCTTTCATTATTCTAGTTTGATTCATCTGATTAGGTAAGAGTATACTTGGTATATTGATATGGTTCACTTAATCTTAGTAAAAGAACGAAACTATACAAATGATACCTTGTGTTTCCACATGATTGTTTGTTTCAGGAATTATTTGAGGGGTACTATTTTTGTCAAGCACAAAGAGAAGACTTTTTCAAGAGAGCTAAACCTCGTGAAGGGCATCCCACAATACAGAGGTAAAGAAGGTGTAGCTTTGATGATTGACTTTCTGTTCCGACTCCTGACTGCATAATTTTGATGCACAGGCCTTCCCTTGCTCAAATTTTTTGCATAATCACCTAATGTACTAACAGTTGACAGTTGAATGTTTTATTTCAGGATGCAGAAATTGGCAAAAGAATTGGGAGTGGTACTGCCAATTAGCTTTTTCGAAGAGGCAAACAATGCACACTACAATTCAATTGTAGTTATTGATGCCGATGGGACTGATCTAGGACTTTACCGGAAGTCCCACATCCCAGATGGCCCAGGTTTGTGATCTTCTCCATTTACCTTTTTTGGTATTTGATGGAAAATAATGTATGTTTTAAACTATACAATCGATTATGATCTCCTCAGGTTATCAGGAGAAATTTTATTTCAATCCCGGAGACACTGGCTTTAAGGTTTGTTTGTCTTAGGGATTGAGTGGCTTTGATGAATGAGCTTGTGTTTGGTCGCACTTTCTGATTATTGATGTCGATTCTTGATAGGTATTCCAAACTAAATTTGCTAAAATTGGAGTAGGTGAGATGCTCTTCCTTGGTCTTGTATGTTATTAATTTCTTCTTTTTTTATACTAGCAAAAAATTTGTGACATGGAAGCCATTATCGAAGGACCCTTTCCTAAAGTTAATGCTCGTCTATCTTTTCATTCCAGCAATCTGCTGGGACCAGTGGTTCCCGGAGGCTGCCCGAGCCATGGCACTTCAAGGTGCAGAAATATTGTTCTATCCGACTGCTATTGGTTCTGAACCTCAAGATGTAGGCCTGGATTCTCAAGATCACTGGAAACGAGTAATGCAAGGCCATGCAGGGGCTAATGTGGTGAGTTCTTGATGCACAATACGAATGATTTAATGTAAATCTGTTTCATATTATTCAATATATGCTGCAAGTTAAATCATTTCTTATTTATTTAAATATTGTACTGACTTTGTTTATCAGATTTAGGAGTGGTTATTCATATCCCCATCCCTCTTCCTGGAATTTGTCTATGCTCATCAACAAGGATTAGTTTTTTTTTTTTTTTTTTTTTCTAATTTCTGCTGGAGCATATTTACAATAAATTACATTTTCAGTAATGTTACTTAATTCGATGTGCTATTTTATGTTTGTCATGTGAAACACTTCCAATTTTTATCTTTTGCACCTGTTTCCATGTGGCCGATTTACTTATACCTTTTTTTTTTTTTTTTGTTTTAAAATCTCATTCAGGTTCCTTTAGTAGCTGCAAATCGCATAGGCAAGGAGACAATTCAGACCGAGCACGGCAACAGCGAGATCACATTCTATGGGAATTCGTTTATTACCGGTATATGCCTCGTACTGAACCCCATTATCTCATAATAATAATCCCAATTATGAACACTAACTTGACAGCATTTACAATTCACTGAAAATGACCTGTAAACAGGGCCCACCGGTGAAATACTTGCAACTGCTGATGATAAACACGAAGCTGTTCTCGTCGCAGAATTCAATTTGGATAAGATCAAATCGAAGAGAAGTAGCTGGGGTGTATTCCGTGACCGTCGCCCCGACCTGTACAAGGTTCTTCTTACATTGGATGGCAAGAATGTGGCTTCTTGATCCGAGGTCAGTGTTTTTAAAGTGCTGTTAAATTATCTCCAAAACTAACTGTGTTGTGCATTTTAGATTTTTAATTGGGAGAACTTCGACCCTATTGCTCTAATTAAAGAATAAATCAAAACTTGGTTGTTTCCAACTTCAATTAAATTGTTATCCAAAACTTAAATTTCAATTAAATTGGGGATCCCTTTTTTTTTTTTTTTTAAATAAACCTCTAGTGTGGTGGGTTCTTGGGCACTTTGGGATTTGATTTTCGTAGGGGTGAATATCTTACTAAATAATAATGCAGTGTGTTTGGATCAGTGATTATCAATGAATTCTTGCTATCCATTTTATTTGTACGTAGAAAAATGTATTAAATTATTATTATTTTTTTATTCTCTTTGAAATTTAGTATATTGTGAATTAAATTTTTATTTAAAAGATCATATCAAATATGACCGGAGAGAATCTTAAAAATGAACTTATCCTTAGGTCTTTTTTTTTTTTTTTTTTTACAAAAAGAAGAAGATTGGAAGAGATATTTAAATATATTTTGGAAGTGTGTTGAGTTTTTCGGTTGATTTAAGAATAATAAAGAATATTTAATGTAATATAATATTTTAATAAAAATAAATTTTATATTTGATGTTTTGAATAATGTACTGTATGTGTATATTTGTATTTTTTGCACAATATATATTTATACACGTATGTTAAAAAAATTATTAGAATAATGGTTAATTACATATTGTTATTAAAAATTGTTATAGTCTTGAATTCGTCACATCAATGGATCGTTAATTCTGATATACTCGTATAGTTGTATTGTGGATTGGATCAATTCAATATTAATTTTTCTAGAATCACAAATGGTGTCATAGACAAATGTATTCCAAGTAAGAATCGTGTTTTCACCCAACATAAAAATCTACACATTTTTTTTATTAATATTATCAAAATAAAATATTATATATACATACACTTATATAGTATACAATATACATATAAATATATTATATAATATATATTTTACTTACAGATAAATTATGAATTTATCACAAAATACTATTTTTTTTTTAATATTATTTATAACAAAAATACTTAAAAATAAAAATACCAAACAAACATATGTTGGCTCCATCAATAATATTTGTATAAATATATATATATATATATATATATCTAAAGAGGAATTATACTTTGAGTGCCAGACTAAAATGTAATAAACCTTCATCCAAGTAAAGCTGTAAAGGTACCCTTGCTATTCCAAAACATCAATAATCCCAATACCAACCCTCAAACAAATACGCTAACAGTTTCCATTAGCACCTTTTATACTACTGCACACGTTTTAACAAGAATGTATAAAAATTGCTACTTTTTATAGTTTAAAAAAGGTACAGCAAGAACTACTCAAAAAAATGAAGTTGCGGAAAGAAACAAGATCAATTAATAATGTTATCAAAAGATATGTGAATTCTAAAAACCCTAACATAAGTTGTTACTAAAAAGAAAAACAAACAAACAAAAAATATATATATATGGATTTGAAAGTTCCATGAACTAATATAACATGCATATAATTCTATATCAACAAGCCCATACAGCAAAAAAATAAAAACAAAAACCCTCAAGTAATATAACAAGCAAATCCATTAAATAAAGAAACGACTGTGTTAGCATCCCAGAAAAATCCCAAAACGTTGCTCAGGTAGTAAGAAGATCAAAATATCACAGCAAATTGAAAATCAAGAAGTCCTACCATCCATGATGTTTGCACTCAGCAAAGAGATAATAGCAGCAGGTAGTACTGAGTCATTTATCATATTCCTTAAAAAAGATCGATCATGTCACAATTCATGAAATAAGATGAGATGAGATAGTGAACCTGGTTCTTACGGGAGTTTGGACGACTTTTTATTGCGGCAGAGCAGATGAGCTTTGGGGCATGCATCTATCTCAGTCGTGTGCTTCCTCGGGTTCCTTCTTCCCTGAGCGCAAATACCATCCGGCAGAAGCAGCAATTGTAACAATACCTGCTGCAACGGCATAGTTTCTGAACTTGTCGGTTGACACATTAGAAGCAGTTGAAGAGGAGGTCTGGCCACTCGATGCAGCACCAGCATCAGCTGTAGATCCTGAGCTTGTCGCAGAAGTTTCGTTGGGACCCTTGATGATTCAATTGCCGTAAATTAATAAAGTGTTAGTTCTGAGGTGCGTTCGAGAAGTCCAAAATATGAAGACATGATCGGAAGTTAGACGTTGTACAAGGAATTTGTTGGTGTACAAGAAAGACAATAATTTAACAAAAACCAGTTATTGAGCATGGAAAGTATGCATACCTTACGAGCAAGCTTCTCCAATTTCTCTTGTTCCATTTTCTGCCAAATTTCAGAATGTTCATCAAATAGGAAAATATGTTAACTGCTGAACTGTAATTAGTTATATGCTTCAAGCTTTATAGGTTAAGCACCTAATTAATTATCAGATAAAGTTACAAGTTACAACAAATAGAACAAGTCAACAAAGACATCTTCCACCATTAAATTAAGTTCACCTTGATATACACGTTTTCTGCAGCCTTCTCCTCCTCACTGAGGACTTTGCCACTGCTTGACAGCCTGCGGGAGATATATCTAGCTGCAATTCTAGCCGCCATTGAGACACGAGTTTCCTGCCAACCAGAAGAATTTAGGTCAGATTATTGTGCTCAGTTTGGTAGTTCTATTTCATAGACAGAACAATAGTAGCTGCTCCGCAAACTTGTCAATCAACAAAGGACGTGATGTGCTAACTCTTCATATTATCAGATTCTAATAGCACTGTAATTATCAACCACGGAGAAACATTAAAATCATTTGTTTGAGTGACAAATACATGGAAGCCAACTTCATAAATGAAAATACTTTCGCTGTGACTAAACTAAGAAATGTAGTTGGAAATTGAGTTTTATCTATTATACAATATTAACAAATAAGGTTGACCAGTATACTATCCAGAAAGTAGCCAAAGTGCCATAGCTCCAAAACATTTTGTTGTGTATAGATACTATAGAACTGTACTTGTGAAGCCTTCAGCATAAATACCATAAATTTCAACAGAGATAAAAGGAATTGCGATACAAAGAAATAATGGATCCAAGCAACTTCACAAAATTTTCACACCAGACAATTTTACTTGCCTCATGGAATTATTTAGTCGGAGATACAAGATTCAGCCAATTGTGTTCCATATGTGGAATTTGAAAGGAAACTATACATTCTAATGGTTCAAGGAAAGTAATAATGCACTAAAATCATTACCACATCACAGCATAAGAGATAAAAACATGATACCAAGACGCGGCATGAAGTAATGAAGAACACATTCTCTTACCCACACAAGTTACTCCATAAGTACACTTAAATATTTCTAAGTGAAACTAATACAGTTCATTAAACTTGATGAAAATTTCTTATCAACACCAATCCTCAGTAGCATAAAAGAATGCTAAGCTAGGTTCTCTAACTAATCCTACATCTTCAATGCTTTGAAACCTAAACAGAAACTCTAAATGCAAACCAAGGCATAAAATATAATCTAGCTATATACTATTCCCACCATAAGAAGGTAAACAGGTCCCCACACAACGCGAATACAAGAATATAGCCGAAGACTCATCTCCAAGTAAACTCGAACTGCTGAAAATAGCAAGTACAGTAATCCTAAAGAGAATTACAATTCTACTGAACTTAAACAGTCATCCAAGGCTATAGTATCACAGAGAAGAATTCGAATCCTAGAACATGTACCAATTCCTACACACTTCGCACAGCAAAACTCAAAATCCACAGATACAGATGAAACAAGGACGCTTAGAATAATCAACTCAATTAAATCGAATGATACAAAAAATGATTGTACAACTACCGCAATAACCCCTGAAATCGAGCAACTAAGACAATCTGCAGAAGGAGAAACCAAAACAGATAAAACATATAAAAAACAATACATACGAACTGCTCTACTCACAGAAATCCACATAAACATTACTCCATACAAATGCGACGATGATATCGATCGATTCAGTAACTACCTTATCAGACGAGATCCGGAGACGGTGCGGATTGAAGGGAGGTTGAAGTTTTGGAGACTTGTAGAAGCGAGTAGAAATTCCTTTTAACTGAAAATGAAAACAGTAATAATGAAATTAAATAGGAAAATAGTCTGGGCTTAAGACACTGGGCTCAAAATAGAAGCACGGCCCATTAGTTGGGCCTATGTAAAGCTTTTAGCCCATGAAAAGGGATAATGGAATGTTCGGTAAAAATGACTTTTAAAGGAAAAAAAGAAATTGAATACATTAATTTAAAATTTTAATCAACATACATTAAGCTATAATAATAATAATAATAATAATAATAATAATATTGTGGTTAGGGTGTTTGATTGGATTTGATTTAATTAAAGCATACAATCAAATTTTTATATAGCACAGTATAATTGTATTACATTTTATATGGATATTATAATGTATAAATATATTTATTGTTTGTTAAAATTAATATTTCCCGTCAGTAAACATTTGCTCCATTGGAGTCGACGTGAAGATTTTATTAAAAAAATAAAATTTGTAAAGAATAATTTTTTTTAAAAATTTAATTAATAACTAAAAGAAATAAAGAGAGACAATATAACAAAAAATAGTGACAATGATGATAAATAACTATTGAATGATAGATAATAGTTAAATATTTAAAATTTGATTTTATTAAAATTAATAATAAATTAAATTTAATGGGAAAATAAAATTTAGAATAAATTTTGTCATAAAAAGTACTTCCTCCATTCCACATAGCATGTCCACGTTGCCGTTTCTGTCCGTCCTACATTCTACGTCACTTTTTTTTTTAAAAAATGATTACTTTTTAATTTATTTTTTTAATTTTAATTAAATTAATTAGTTATCTTAATCTTAATTTATAATTATTTATATTATAAGATAATTATCTTTTACTAATACGTTCTTAATTATCTGACTAAATTACACAAAATCCATCCGTGATTTCATGAAATTGCACAAAATCTCCCATACTTCTAAAACTGCGTCAAATTCCCTCGTGGTTTCATAAACTTTGCGTCTAACCCCCTCAGTGGTCCTTATTTAACGGTATTTGACCTAAATGCGCTCAAACTGTAAATAAATTTTAGAATCTCAATTTATAAACCTCTAAAATTACAAATATATTATATATATATTTACCCTAAAAAAATAGTAAATATACTCAACAATAGTTATTTTTCTCAAGTTTTATGAGTTTATTTTTACTATTTTTTAGGCTAAATATATAAAAAATAAATATATTTGTAATTTTAAAGGTTTAGAAATTGAGATTCTAATATTTATTCGCAGTTTGAGCGCATTTAGATTAAATACCGTTAAACAAAGACGGCTGAAGGGGTTAGACGCAAAGTTTATGAAACCACGAGGGAGTTTGATGCAATTTTAGAAGTATGAGGAATTTGGTGCAATTTCATGATACCATGCATGGATTTTGTCCAATTTAGCCTAATTATCTACTAATTACACTCCTCCTAAAATACCGTCTACAGTGTAGCAGACACGATATATGAGACGGAGGGAGTAATATACTCTCTCCCCTTCGTCCATTGAAATGTTGCCATTTTTCATTTTCATAAGGTTACTATTTTTTAATTTAGTAATTGTACTATTTACCTAACATAATAAATACCCTTTCAACTTACACTGTATTATACAAATGCCATTACTTTTATATTACATAATTACTAATAGGAGAAACATTTTTGTCTTTTTCACTACAACCCATTGTAATACTAATATTAAAAAATCTAACTGTAAAAAATAGACGACAATATTGCACCAGAACGGAAGGAATATTATATATTATGTGAAATTATATTGTTGTCAAATATACACTATCTTGTCTTACACCCTAACGGTAGTAATAACATTGATTGAACTTTTGCTAACCCTTAGACATGTATCGGAAATAGGTAATCGTCAACTATAGCTTCCATTGGGAAATGGTAATGGCCTCAGCATTTAAATCCCAATGATCTATTTATTTATTTATTTATTTGATCTTAGCCAATGATTTCTTTTGCTTGCATTAAAATAAGTTGAAAAGACATCTACCAATCTTATACAACTACTGGAACTGTAAAAAGTAGTTGAACAATAATTTTTTAGATTGGCATAACTTTGACATGCGGCCTGCAACATTTGCTCGTACACATGAACACGCCCGTGTTCAAAGGGAACACGGGCATGTTGCATCAACACAAAGAAGCATAAAACCTGAAGCAAATTGAGGAGCAGACAGTATTTGTGGTTTTGGCCGACAGTGACAACCCCTTATTACAATCAGCAAAAAAACAGAGAAGAAACAAACTCAAGAAAATAGGAAGCTAAAAAAGACCATAACACAGTTCCTTCCATCTCCATTTCATGTCCAAACAACATAGGAATTGTCTTCTAAAATACTCTTCTGCTCACTCTTCTTACCTTATATTTCAGTAAAGATCAGTCTCCTTGTGGGTGTGGATGACGCAGTCCGACGTCGGGTACGACACGCACGTAAGAAGGTACCCTTCCTCCATTTGCTTGTCGTCGAGGAACGATCCATCCGACTGGTCGACTGATCCGGTCGCCAGTTTTCCGGCGCAGGTGGAGCAGGCGCCGGCTCTGCACGAGTAGGGAAGATCGATTCCGGCAGTTTCCGCAGAGTCGAGGATGTAGCAGTCGTCGGGTGCTTCAAATTCAGACTCTGCGCCGTCTGGGCCGATCAATTTGACCTTGTAGGAGGCCATTGCGTATGTTCTGAAGGTGGGCTTGGCTGAAAGTCCGAAGGCTTTGGCTGTGCTCCTTTTGGAGGATAAGGAGGTCGGAACCTTGATGAATGCGCTCGTTGGTTGTCTTTGTGGAGTTGTTTGGAGGATGGAGGTCGCGGGGAGCGGTGCTGTCGCCATTTCCTGAAAAAGGGCAGCGGAAACAGATCAGATTTGATGTATTCCACAACTATGTCATTAGCTGCATAATTACATAACATGATAAGAGCATCTGGGATCAATCTTGTTCACCATAAGTTAGTTCTGTCTTGACCAATAATGGAAAAGGTTTGTATCTAATTAACTGTTTAAGCTTCCCTATATAATCTCATATTGCAAGTTCATAGTAGGGTTAATTACTTTCAACTGGAAATCAAAATTTACAGAGCATACTCTGGATTTACTATTTAATTTCACTGAAACCTGAGCACTGTTGTTTGCATAAAAACATAGGAGGGAAGATAAAGAAATAATGAAGAAAGTATCCTTGACTACTCAGTTTATGATAAAAATGTATTGAAAGAGAAAGCACAATGAAATGGTTGTATAAATTGGCTCCAGAATATGGCGAAAAGTATTCTAGAAAATTATAGAATTCATCGCCTTTGTTTCTTACGTAAGCACATAAACATTCAAATACTGAAAATTATACAGTGACCTCTGGAAATTCTCTAAATTTTCACTTCCTTGCAAGGAAAAACCGTTGAGTCTCACTCTGAAAGCAAATACTGAAACGGAATATGTTACGCGTTTAATGAGGAAGATAAATAAACATTCCCATCAATCACATCAATAGCATGAACCAAACGAATTTTCATTAATGTCCACTGATGAAAAGTTCCTTTCAGAGCCGCAAAAACACAGGAATTCAAACAAACGGCTAATAACAAAATTTGGATCATTTCAGCCCTAACGAATTAAAACAAACACAGCTAGTAACCAAAAATTGGATCATTTCACACCTAACAAATGAAAACAAACACAGTCTCTGCACAAAATTGCAAAAATCGAAAGCTCAGTTAAAGCAAACAAAGCGAAAATCTCAAACCGAAGAGACATAACTCGTAAAATTCCTCAACAAACACCGACGAAAGACACAAATTAAACAATAAACCGAAAAAGATCCAAAGACTGAAACGAAGACTTACGGAGTTCCAAGCAAGATCCGATCTCGTCCAAACTCGATTCCCGGATTCAGCCGAACTCTCTTCTCTCACCTCACCTCTGCGCGGGGGTTTGCCGAAGATCAACTGGCGGAAATGCCGAGGAAGTTAGAGGAAACCTGAATTTATAGACGGAAGTGGAAAAGAGCAATTTGCTTTGCAGTCTGTAATTTGGCTAATTATTGAGACATTAGGTCATTTCTATGGGCCAATCAGAGAAAAGCACCAACAATAATAAATAAATAAAATCTATATATAATAGATAGTGAAAGACCAAATTGCCCCTGTCGACGCGCCGCCATTGTTGCAAAGTGGCTTCTCTTCTCGGCATTTAAATAATAATCTGTGACGTGTTATGTATTTTTAGATTATTTTAAATAAAATTTAATAAAGATAATATTTATTAGGAAAAATTATCGATAATCAACCATTAAATTTACAGAAAATTCACAACTTTAATACATATACATAATTTTTTAAAATATACTATGTTGAATATTAATTTAGAATGGAAAGATTATACTATTAAATATTTATTAATATGATATCAATTTTTTTATTTTTATTTATATAAAGAAAAACCACCTAGCATATGCAAACAAACAAAGGATCTTCTCACGAGTTGCATTACTCTTTGTCCGCTTTCTTCATAAAAATTAATTTAATAATATATGCGACTTGCGAGAACTAGCAAGATAAATAAAATAATAATAAAAAGAGTTTGAAGATTGAATGTAAGTTAGAAAGAAAGTACTTTAGAAGAGAAAGTTATTAAATTTTTTTACTATACATAATTTATAAAATTATATGATTTTTCTTACAATATATCCTATCCGTCAAATTTATGTTATTATTATTATTTTTTTAAATTTATTATTCTTTAAACTTATATATAATTTAATTAAGAAAGAAAGCATTATATTTATTAAATGGCCTCTCAGCCTCATTACAAGCCAATAAACATCAAATGGACAAATGGCCTCCTCAATGGCTGCTGTCACCATTTAAGTAAATATTTGCATTTTTTAAAATTTATTCATATTAAATTGCTAAAGGAAAGCCAGTATAGTGCAGCCCATTGGGCCCACTAAAGCTTTACTAAATTAGGAAAATCAAATGTTTGTTCGGGGAATTGGATTTTAAATCCACTGTTTATCTCTTTTTTTTTTTTTTTTAAAAAATATCAAATCAAACACTTATGTTTCATTTTTTATATTATACTAAAAAATCAATTTTCCTTTCAAAACATTACATCAACCCCTATTTATATTACATCATACAACTATTCAAATTCAAAATTTTTACTATTTAAATCCCAACTCAAAATCTAAACCCCATAAACAAACACACCCTAATGTATGATTATGGTTAAGCAAAATGTTGGCTTAAATAAATTAATGAGTTTGTTAATTTTTACTTGGAAGATATTTTTACATTTTTTTTTTTTTAAAAAAAAAAACTCGGACTGGTAATATTTAAAAATACTTATATTGCTTAGTAAAAATGCTTTAATTTTCTCTTCAAAATACTTTTATAACTCTCGGTAACTAATAATAAAAATATCAAAAATTCTTGAGCACTAAAAAGAATACAACTATATGTGCCCTCAAGAGTTTTAATGTTAAATTTTGATAGCGAGCCATACTAGATACATGTATAAGAAGTTGTGTTAGAGTTAGCTATAATTTTGTTAATTATTCAAGGCTAATGAAAATTTCAAAAATTTATCTAGTGTAACGTCACCTAAAATTTAAGATAAGAAAGTACATATATATATATATATATATATTATTTTGGGCGAATGATGAATTTTTACTTATTTTAATAGCCTACAAACGAGACAAGCAATGAATTTGTCGAAGTATCAATGATGAAGTCATGACATATCGATAATTAGATGTTCGTATTTGTGTTCGTGTTTTGTTTTGTTTTTTTTTTTTTTTTTTTTCAATTATTGATGAAAACTATGGACATTTCTTTTCCTCCATTGACAAGATCAACCATACATTGATCCATAGTATCAAGAAAAATCGAACCCTAATTAAATCAAGAGCGAATGATTTATCCAGAGTGCACTAAGAAGAGTAATAACTGTGAATTTTTACGTCATAAAAAAAAATCAAATCAAAGTGCATAAAGATCGCGGATTCCCACATTAATATATATATATATATATATACAACCCTAATTATATTAAGAGTCATGTTTTGTAAATTTTGGTTATATAATTCATCAACAATCGACATCAAATTAATCCTCTACAATCAAGACTCTTGTAGATAGATTAATAAAGAGGACAAAATGGCAAACTAGTTATAGACAAATAAATATGTACACACACACATACAAGATCTATCTCAGTACATTAAGCTAAGATTCACTAACTTCCATACCAATTAATGAATCAAATGTCTGATCTTGAAGACCTAATTAATGGCTTCCATGTCTATATATGATCACGGCGAGGGCCAGGCGGGGTAGGGTTTGCATTCTTGCAGTGATGGTCGAGGCGATCGTGTATGATTCGATTCCTAGCCGACGCTTGGGCGGCGAGGCTTTCTCTGGCGACATCGGCTTCTTTATTAGAAGCCCACAAGGCGTCGAAGGCCGGGCATTGGATCCAGTCCCGGAGAAAACCCTCCATTCCCCATCTCTCCGGCGGGCGGCGAAGGGCCGAGTTTTCGAGGCCCTGATGAACAGCATTAATGGTGGTCATGTCCGTTGTTGGTTTAGAGTGAGAAAGGGGTTTGTGGTGGTGATGATGATGATCTTGTTGAGGAGGGTTTGTGGGATTAGGGTTTTTGTGCTGATCATTTGATGTTTTAGGGTTTGTCATATTGGATGAGGATGATGAAGAAAATGATGATGATGAGGATGATGAGTTTTCCATTGTAGCGAGAGAGAGAGAGAGAGAGTTTGATGAGTGAGAGAGAAAAGGGAGATATTTTGGATTTGTGTATTTAGTTGTTGGGAAGTGATGATACTTAGGAGAACACATCTCATTGTTTTTGGCCTTAGAGAGTGCTTTCTTTCTTCTTGTCTTTCTTTGGCTTGTAACTTTGCACGTGTCCATCTTGCTACAATTTTATTCTTCTCTCTCTCTCTCCACCTCTCTCTCTCTCTCTCTATATATATATATACATATATGTATATATTGTTCATTCTAGTACAATAGTCATCACAATCGTATCAATTTCTATGATCTTTTCCACATATTGTTTAGACTTTGTTCATGCGTGACGATATGATTTCAAACTTTAATTATGAGAAAATAATACACTTTGGGATAATGTGTTTAGTTTCATAAATTTTAATACGTCAATTTCTATTTATATAGTATCAAATAATTATTTTAATTAAAAATTTTATCAAGAACACAAAAGTAAAACCCCCAAACAAGCACAAATTATATAGGGTATTTTGAGAAATTCATTAGAGAATGTGATTAATTGTAATGTATGTACTAGCAATGATAGTGATAAAATTGTTGAGTTTGTTATTACATTGTTCCCAAAAAAAAAGAAAAAAAAAACATATTTTTTAATAAAAAAAAATAGTATTATTATTATTTATTTATTTATTTATTATTATTATTATTTTTGAAATATACATTACCAAAACAACGTCATAATTTCTCAAAAAATACTTCACAATTTCTAATAACTAGCAAATAAATAAATAAACCCACAAATTTTGAAAACATATAAAACTAGACATGTCATGATTTCAAACTTCAATTATGAGATAATAATACACTTTGGGATGTGTTTAGTTTCATAATTTTAATACGGTTTTCTTGCATTTTCTTTTTTTGTCTTTCCAAATTTATGCTTATCATTATTTTATTTTATTTTTTTAATTTTCATAAAAATATTTTCAATTTTTTAAGTAATTAGTATTTTTTTATACTTTTTTTACTATAAAATACAAAATATAATAATTATTGACCACTTTTACATGACAAGAAGATTATTATATTTTTTAACAGAAAAATATTCTATATTTCTTATCACAAAATATATATATATAAAAAAATAATATAAATATTTTAATAATATTTATATGATCATAAATAACTAGTAATAAAAGTGCCAAAAATTTGTAACATAAAATATGTTTTACGCCTGAAAATGAAAATCTTCTAATTAAGTTGTAGAGATTAATGTAAAAAAAAAAAGCAAAATCATTTCCTTTTGTTTGCTTGTGTATGTTTTGATGTGCAAGTGGTGATTAGAAGTGATATATGGTTTGAAAATATATATTTTCACTGCTAGAAAATTAGGCTATAGTTGCGGTGAAAAAAGTCACACTTTTAATACAAATTGATGACTTTTTACTAAAAAGTCACGGAAAAATATACGGAACCATTTCCGTGGAATTTTGCTGGTGACTTTTTTTAAGTTGTGACATTTATGTGACAATAAGTTATGAATAATACCATGACATGTCCGTGACTTTATATAGCAACAGAAGCTGCAACAAAATTTCGTGAATATTTTATCATAGTGACATTTTCGTGACAATAAGTTACAAAATAATACTATTACACCCCTGTGACTTTATATTAACGAAAGTTTTAACAATTCCGTGATTTTATATTTTTGAAAAAAAAATATATATTTTCACTACTAGTGACCTTATATTTATTAAAGACTTACACACCTGTCATGTCAATTTAACTATCTACTACAAAGTATTACTTTTTGTTTGTTATTATACTTTAACTATATAAATATTATTGATTATAAATTTATCTTTTAAAAATATATACATATTTATTTAATATATCATCATGAATTTTTAACAAAAAATTGAATAGCTATGAACGATATTGAATAAAGATATTGAAGATGATTTTATTATTTTGTTATTACTTTGAATAGCTACGAACAATAATAAGAAAAATTTATAGTTGTTTTTGTTACTTATGTTGTGACATTTGATTTTAAAAAGTCACAAAATTATACTATGACAATATCTGTAATAATTTAAAATGCTGGAAATAGTTTGATTATTTTTGCCGCAATTTAAAATAGTCAAGAAAAAATTTCGTGATAATTTTTGTGACGAAATAGTTAAAAGACACGGAATAGAAATATTTTTTGGACATTTTCGTTACATAAGTCATTACTTTATATGGTCACGGAAAGTTGTTTGTAGTTTTTTTTGCAAATATTACTTGCGGAATAGTCAAAGTAAAAAGTTGTGACATAAATTTGTCACGAAATTACTTTCCGTGACTTTTAATTGTCACGGATTAAAATTTGCGACAAATTTCTGCAATTATCAATATTTTTTCTAGTAATGTTTGCCCGTAGGTTTTCACCCATATTTTAAAATTATTTTTTGAATATTACACAAATAAATAAAAAATTACTTTTAAAAATTCAAAAAATATATATATATAATACTATCTTCATCCAACTCAATGCACTATTCTTGTTTATCTTTTTTAAAAATATTTATCTTCTATTAATTTTTTCTTAATCTCCATGTCGGAAAAGAAATGAGTATTTGATTATGGATAATTTATTAAGATATTAATAGATTTGGATAAAATAGAGGTAAAGAAACACAATATCCTCTCTTTTCCCCGCATAAACTTTAATTTATGTCATTTATTTTCATTCTCTTCGATTTATTTTCCTTTTTACTTTTATTTTATTTTTGTTTTCTTTAGTTTTCTTGTCCTTTTTTTATTTTTATTTTTTATATCTTTGTTCCATTTCTCTCTCTCTTTTTTTTGATTTATTACTTTTAAGTTCCGGATTTTTTTTTTGGGATTTTTTTTAGGAAATCGGAGAATCCACCTGATTTTCAAGGGACTTGCTATGATAAGCCGCTGAAAAATATTTTGAGCGGGAACAGGTATAATTTTTTTTTATTTAATTATTAATAACTTAATTACATAGTTTTTTTTCAAGTTTTTTTTTTTTTTTTTTTTTTAAATGGTGCTGCTGTCACAATTCGGCTTGCTTCAACCGTGGGGCTATTATGATTATGAATATGGTTAGTTTGGGAGACCTATTACATGTAATAATAATAATAATAATAATAATATAAGCATGATAATTACTATATATAAATTTATGGCTTATTCGGGTATTGTTACTTATCTTTCAAAAATTTTATCAAATTAAATTCTAACCAACTAAATCTTTCACTTTGCTCCCAAATCACATTAAATTCTCAATCTAACCTACAATCCTACTTTATAATTAGCCTCTAATAAACATTTGAAGACGATTGATAACAAAAAGAAGAAAGAAGTAAAATAGGATAAATTTTTTTTCAAGATCCAAGATCGAGAAGCGAAATACAAACTTAGGAGTTTAGATGGATTTACACTTTATATACTTATATATATATATTATCGGAATTATATACTTGTATCTTGATTGTTGTAAAAGTATGTAAACTTGGGAGTTAGATGGATTTACACTTTATATACTTATCACTACAAAATAAAAAAATAGTATATTTATAACAGAATTCTATCTCTAAAGTTCACGTAGGTGTAATTTTATCCCTAATTCTGCCTCTAATATCGTTAGTAACGAAAAAAATAGATTTAAGAATGAAAAAATCTCATTACAAAATTGATATTTTCTTGTAGTGTATGTCTTGATCGTCTCAAACTAGACATAACAATTTATATTAGAAAGAAGAAAAATTAAACTAATTTATTATAAAGAAGGTGGACATAAAATATTTTGATCAATTAATCTATGTTAGAAGAAAGAAAGATGAACTAAATTATTATAAAGAAGACTGACATAGAAATTTAGATCAGTTTATATATGTATGACATGATTTGTATACTTGTATCTTATGCATCAAAATACACGTAATAATCCATGTTAGAGAAAAAAAAAAAAATTAATTTCACTAATTTGATTATGATGTAATTGATATGTGTGTAACGAATTTTTATACCTAAAGATGTAACGACAAATTATGTTACAAATTGCCAAATTTTAAGTTGCTTTTGATTATTGGTTCGATTATTGAGTTAAAAGTTGGATTGAAAGTAATTTATTTAATTTATATTTGATTTATAATGTAGTATATATAAGATTTAAAAATTGAAAATATGTGTTTAATTATTTTAATAAAATATCATATCATATGAATACTATTTTGTAAATTATAATATTTTATACAAATACAAATAAATAAATAAAAAATAATTTTATTTATGATTACCATAAATTAAGTTGCAAATAAATAGGAAATTTTGAATGAATATAAATATATTTATTTATTGAGAAGAGAGATAAAAATAATATAATTTGAATGAATTTTAAATTAGTCCATATAATGTATATTTTAAAAAAAATTGGGAGCATAATGCCAACCTGATCCGAAAAGCCAACCAGTCTATGTTAACATTATGGGATTAATTCTTTTAATTATGTGAAGTAATTATTAATTATGTAGTGTGTTGGTTTATATTTAAATATAAGTTATATCATGTTTTGTGTCGGTTCATATTTAAGGAGTAATTATTTGTTAATAATTAGGTATGGTATTGATTAATTATTTGAATATTAATTATGTATCATGTGTTTGTCTATGTATTTAATTGTGAAATTATAAATATAAAATAGTATGAACCCTATGTTCGTACATGTGTGAAGTATTCTATGCAAAAATATGTATTTTATTTAGTAGGTACTTCTTCTGTTCTAAACATCATGTAATAATTTTCTTGTTGGTCTATCCTAAATCTCTGTAATATTTTCGAAATATATAATAATTAACTATGTTTATTTCCTTGTAATATTGACTACATTTTATCATATTATCTAATTATCACCGTATCATTCGTTAAAAATAATCGGGGCATGATACATATAATTAAGGGTTATGCTAGGTTCCTTGATGAAGCTCCAAAACTTGTGAAGATTACCCAAGTTTCATGTGAATACGATACTAGAGTTATATAAAATGAAGGCGACTAGACCTGGGGTCATAGGATAAATTGAAGACGAATCTTATAGTGTGTAAATTAGACCAATAAAATAAATTATTCTAGACGAACCATGTGTATCAGACAAGAACTCTTGCCAAGATGTGTAATCTGGATGGGATTGTTATTAAGAAAGTCGCATGTGGCGGCATGCTATGACCAAGAAAGGAAGGTTGTATGCTTATGATGTTGGTCATGCGGGGCGGTTAGGTCTTGGCCCCCTAAATGGATTCTCTTTTTACATACCTAATGCATCGAAAAATATGCTCTTGAATTTACTATTTTTAGTGATCTCTGTTGCATAAACCTTGTCATTTGCTATCATTTTCACATAGAATCAGAGATCACCAAAACTGGTAAGTACCAGAGCATGTTTTGCTATGCATTAGATGCACAAGACGTATAAAAGTGTGAAGAATTTGCAAGACATGCAAAAGTGTGAGTATGACCGCAACAGACGAGCTGTGCACTATCAAGGATAACCATAACTCCTAGTTTACCTTGCGTCATCATAAATAGTGTAACAATGATGCTATATACACCATTGCGTGATGCTGCAAGATAAATTGGGTAATAAATGGATTCCTTTCTTGCATACCTAATGCATCGGAAAACATGATCTTGAATTTATTAATTTTGGTGATCTCTGTCCCTTTTGCGATGATTCTCATGTAGAATCAGAATCACCAAAAATGGTAAGTTCCAAAGCATGTTTTGCAATGCATTAGGTGCACAAGATGTACAAAAGTGTGAAGAATTTGCAAGACATGCAAAAGTGTGAGTATGACCGCAGCAGATGAGCTGCACACTATCAAGGATCACCATAACTCTTGGTTTACCTTTGCGTCATCATAAAATAGTGTAATAATGATGCTATATACACCATTGTGTGATGCCGCAAGATAAACTAGGGAACAAATGGATTCCTTTCTTGCATACCTATGAATTGGAAAATATGCTTTTGAATTTACTATTTTTGGTGATATATGTTGTATAAACTTTGTCTTTTGCGATCATTCTCATATAGAATTAAAGATCACCAAAACTGGTAAGTTCCAAAGCATGTTTTGCGATGCATTAAGTACACAAGACATACAAAAGTGCGAAGAATTTGCAGGACATGCAAAAGTGTGAGTATGACCGCAGCATACGAGCTTTACACTATCAAGGATCACCAGAACTCCTAGTTTACCTTGCTGTCATCATAAAATGGTGCAACAATGATGCTACATACACCATTGTGTGATGCCGCCGCAAGATAAACTGGGTAGCAAATAGACCGATGATCCTGTACGGTACTAAGGATGAATATATGGATCACAATAGCTATAAATGAATATATGGATCACAATAGCTATAACCAGGCGGCTAAGCAAATCCACAATAGTGGAATCTCCATAATGGATATCCCGCCAAATCATCAAATTGAAAAAAGAAAAAAGAAGAGATACCATCCTGATGCTTTGCACAACACCTCTAGAGTTGTTATTAATACGCTAATACCAATATATTCTTGTGTTTTACTTAAATTACAAACATATCATTACACATACAATTACTTTATACATAATATCAAAATGACAAAAATATCAAAAACTCCTTTTGAATTGAGATGGAAGAAGTAATAGCAAAATAATTATAGTATTATGCATTAAATATTTAATCGACAATAAAAAAAAAAAAATTGATACAATTTTAACGGGTAAAAAATGTATATTATCTAAACCCATTTATAACACTGGGTTCGATCTAATAATTTTTAAAACACTTCAATGTACAAGTTAAATTCGTTTTTAATCAAATATGGATTATGTCGTAATTTAATTATTAAGCATATGCCTCATTTCAAATACTAAAATCAAACTTTTAACCACAGCTAAAATTCAAAGAAGGAATGCCGATAGATTAAAACAAATTGTACAAAGCAAACCTTAAAACAAAAGATATGCTTATCATAAAATAAATGTGATAGAATTGTGCGTTTCTTTAGTACCAGTTTGAAGAAATTTTGTCTGAATTTGATATTAAAATAATATTTCAGTGACGTACATTTTTATTTCAAAAAACACAGTTCAAATAGTGAAAATTTTGAGAAATTTTGGATAAAGAAAGCCTACGAATTTGGCTCCACAAGTGACTTAAAGATGGCTTCGCAAAAAGTTGCATTATATATTAAAAGATGGCCGGCGTCGGGGACCTCATGGTATTTAATCCATGGAAGCTGTTCCGACAAATGCCGGTTTACCTTGTAAGGAATCAGCCTATCTTCGTATGCTTGCCATAGATGAATTTGAATAGATCCGTTGCTCACCAAAGCATTGCTGCTAATGTCCGTCGGATCGAACCCCCAATCTCCAAATCCGACGATCAGGTCGCGATGTAGACACTCATGAACCCCTTGTTGTGTTGGCTTTTCCTGCGAAATATTTATTTTGTCACAAAATATTATAATTTAAGATATGACATAGTGGTGTGAGAATAGGCTCGTGAACGAGTTACTCAACAATTTATACAACGTTAGTAATAACATCCTTCTAGGCTCAATGTCTTATCAAGTCTTGAATTTTTTAAACATGATTCTTAAAGAACTTATTTTTCAACCGAGACATCACATATTTACTTGAAAAAAAATTTACTCGAAAAACACCTAAAGATATTTCATATAAGTTCTTCCTAATTTTCGCACGAAAGACATACCTGACTCAGCTGTGGACCTGCAGCCGTCTGTTTCAAGATCTCCAGGTCAGAGTCACTGAAAGCGTCGAGCTTCCCTTGCAAGACACTGAGAGATGGGAACCATTTTTGAGTCATCCACCAGTTCAGTAACCACGGAGTGTGATGGGCAATCATGAATGCAAATTGATCTTGGATGAGCATTTTTCCGAATGATTCTTTCGCTAGCTTCGCCGGAAGGCACTTCCACCAGTAGTTAACAACTGGAACGACGAGGGCAGCGCTCGATATCCTTTAAAAAACATGAAACAAATTTTAGCGCGATTAAGTCATCCCAAAGAACATTAGCGGAAGCAAAAATCGAATAAAACTAAAACAATATTAAACGGAATGAAATTGAAATGACCACATATTAAGGCTTAATTAATTTTTCTGAAGTTCAATTTTGCCTTTATGCTTAATTGTGTAATTTTGATTTTGATTCTGATTCGGTTGAATTGATTTGGGTTTATTTCGAATTCGCTTCCGCTGATATTAAATTTGTATATCAAAAGATTTGGGAATAAATTCACAACACCAAGATCAGTACCTATGTGGGATGTACTTCAAGCAGCTGTAAACAGAGTATGCTCCCATGGATATCCCGACCACGACAAATTTGGGCCCGATTTGCAACTTGTCAGCCAATTCCTCAATGTCGAATGCTTCACTTTTCACCGATCTTGTAGGGCGCGGATCGCTTTCGCCATAACCGGCGCGGTCGAATGACAGAAGATATATTCGATGTTCCTTCATGAATTCCTGAAAATGCAGTTGTCATTCGCGCTCAATTTACGGCGAATATGGCTCGAGAGTAAGATTCGAGTATGCTTACTTCGGACAAAGGGAGGTTGAAGTCTTTTGAGTCACCGAGGCCATGAGCAACAATGATCTTATGCTCGGCGTCTTCCTTGGCAACGCCCCTCTCCTTGTACGCCAAATGCCTCCCGTCCTCGAGTTTTACCCTCGGCGAAGTCACCGGAGGCCCGCCCGGTGTGCCGCATATTTTGGGAGGCGGAGGCTGGATTGAAAGATACACATATCCGAGACCGGCAACGACAACAGCAGCAGCAATTCGAGCAATCATATCTAGGCAAATACAGTTCATATGAAATTAAGTTTGAAGATCATCTCGACTGAGGAATTATATCTAAGCAAGTACAGTTCATATGAAATTGAATTCGAAGATCATTTTGATTGAGGCATTATATCTAGCAAATGCAGTACATATGAGATTAAATTCAGAGATTATATATCTCGATGAAAATGGAGGTGAAAATTTTCTGCCTTTCAATACAGCCAAAATGATTCAGGAATTATTTGTGTTCGTTGTTAAGTTGTTAATTGTTCTCTATCCAATACCAGAGCAGAACAATCGTCCAATTGCGAAGTTCAAACCCTAGAATTTTGGGGGATTCACACAGTAGCACGTAATTGAAGTAATAATCCTTCAGAAAATTTAATTATAGCAAACCAGTAACAGAAACTGAAAATCTGACAAATCGATTTGGCAGAAGGAAAAACAGAGCAAAATCATATATAAATTTGCAGAACTATAAATAAGATCATCCAAAAGTAGAGTATAAACAGTTGAATGAGGTAACCTGTCTAAGCGCCGTCAACGAAGGTTTGGTTTCCGGCGATCTAATCCTAACAGATGAAGCTGAAACTCTGTCGATCGGATCCTTGGACTGATTGTGTCAGCGCTGAAAATGTGAAAATTAGGAGAAGCAGAGGGAGGACGAATATACTCAAATCTTCCTTCTGAAGGCACTGTATTAACGAAGACGATGGAGCTGCCTATTCTTTAACACTATTTATTTTTTTTCAATTGCCTATTCTTTGAGAGAAAGAACATATATTTTTTTATAATAACTTTTAAATGTAATGCATAATTTTACTTTTTGAAAAGTAAATATGTAATTTTATTTTATTTTTTAAAAAATAATATGTATTTTTTTAAAAAGTAACATGTAATTTTACTTGTAAAAAATTAATGTAATTTTTTATTTCAAAAATAATTTATTTGATATATTTTCCACAAAAATTTATATGATATATATGTATAATTATTAAAAAATATATGTTTGTGTTTAGATTTAATTTTATTTAAAATTGAAAATTATATATATTATTAAATTATTTAGCAAATAAATTAAAATATAAAAACACGTGGGATAGGATGCAAATTACATAAATATTATATGATATAATTCAAATTACAAAATACAAATTGCATAAAAAAGTAAAATTATATGGATAAAATACAAATTACATAAAATATTAAAATACACTAATTTAATATAGAGAAATATTATTCTTTCTATCTCCACAAATATTATTGGAATATTGAAAAAACATATTCGAAAAAGACTATGGATTTGATTCCTCATATTCATATAAAATTTCATTTTTCTTGAGCCGGTAATAAGTACGCTGAACAGGGTTAAAAATAATTTTTTCCTCACTAATTTATTTTTGTTCAAGTGGCAAAAATTATTGTCTATACAAAAATAATTTTTATAGTATTTCTAGAAACTTACTCTTTTAACATTAATAATATGAGCATTTTCTTTATTTTTAATTTTATGCGTTGTTTTTTTCTCCTCATGGGTGGTCATATGAACACCCACAACATTATAATTTAGATTTAGTCTACTTCCATGATCGTTTAAGTTAACTACAAAATAATAAATTTTTAAAAGATTTAAAAGCAGTGTTATCCGACCATAACGATACATGAGTGAAATTATTTTTTTGAGATATTTATATAATTTTTAGCTTCATTGTGATTATTAAAATTTTCAAAATCTCTTAACAATTTTCAAACATGATCAAATTTAAAACTTTTTTTTAAACTTGCATATATCTTCATTAGTATCTCATTTGCTTGAGTTAATTGCAATTAATACTTTAAGGTTACAAATAGAACTTTCGAACTATATATATTAACAATAAATTTAAGAAAAAACTTGCAATATTCATCTCTGAAGCTCCACTAGGTTTTAAAGTTTCTATTTTCTTCGTACAAGTAAATATTTTCGAATAGCTTTTTCCATGACTTGGATTGGATTTTGTACCGATCTTGACACATATATCCCAATTAGGATTTTTAGTTTGGTTGTATGCATCAGTGATTCGATTCCAAAATTGGTCTCTGGATTATTGTCTTTGGGTAATTGAATCTTGTGAGATATCTAAATAATGTTGGCATTGCAACACATTTTAATCATGACTATAACCACCATCTCATATGAACAATTTGAAAAAAAATTTTAATAAATTTTTGTTATATTAGAATGAAAAGTAAGCTGTGGTGCAATAACTCAAATGGTGAAAATATATATTTATAAACAAAAATTTTGGATAGATATCAAATCTTATCGATTGAAAAACTTAATCTCAAAAGTTGATTTAGATTTCACTCACACCTAGCCGGATCAAATACCTTTTTTTTTTTTACCAATCTTGTATATTATATTTGACTATATATATATATATATATATTATAAAAACCTACTTATTCATATCAAAGGATATCGAACCATTAGTTTGAATTTCATTTCTATTTCATCCGATTGGATGAATATCTAAATTATCCAAATAATTATTATATATTATAAATTATAAAAATTTACTTATTCATATAGGAGCAATCATCTTCATTTCATCCGTCTATATTATCCAATTAATTATTATATATTATATATTATAAAAACCTACTTATCCATATCAAAGCAATCTTGCATGTTTAGATTTCATCTTCATTTTATATATTGGATGAATATCTATATTATTTAAATAATTGTCATATATTTATAATTTATCTAAACTTTTCATTCTATAAATTAGTGGGCATTCAACGAAAATTTATTCATCAAACATATATTCACCCATCAAAGCAATATTATTTCTTCGATATAAATAACTTTTCATCGTCACGTGATGAAGTTAGTAAAATTTTCATGGAATCCATGTTGAAGATTCTGACTGTTTCGAGAATTATTATTTAGAGTTTGTTAGAGTTATTTTAGCTAGTTTGATTTAGTCTTGGTATTCAGTTAAATAAATGCTTAGTGGCCTAATTTTTAGCCTAATTTTTTGGTAGTTTTGTTATATGGATGGCTCTTTAAAAGTCAGATTTATTCTTCAATAAAGCATTCCAGTTGTTTTTTATGTTAATTTCTGCAGTATTTCTTAACATCTAACATCTGGTATCAGAGCGAGCACTGGGCTTGCAAAGAAAGACTATAGAGAGAAGTAGTAGTCTTCGAGTAAGCAGATACTAAGAGAATGAACGACGACAAGACCTTGACGAAGATCCCTCACTTTGATGGTCACTACGACCATTGGAGTGAATTGATGGAGAACATGCTTAGAGCAAAGGATTTGTGGAGTTTGGTAGAAGACGGCCTCGAAAAGCCAGCAGAAGGGATGAGGTTGACAGAGGCGCAACAAGCATTGCTCAATGATATCAAAACTAAGGATTACCAGGTTAAACATTATCTTTTCCAGGCACTTGATCGTGCGGTCTTTGAACAAATCCTAGATCGTAGTACAACCAAGAGTGTTTGGGATTCGATGAAACGAAAGTTTGGAGGAAATGACAAGGTGAAGAAAGCTCTTCTTAATTCACTAAGAAGGGAATTTGAAGTTCTATCGATGAGGAAAGATGAAACCATCACCGAGTATTTTGCAAGAGTGATGACCGTTTCTAATAAGATGCGAAGCAATGGGGAAGATATGCCTGACTCAAAAATTGTTCAGAAAATTCTACGAACCCTAACTGAGAAGTTCACGTACGTTGTGGTGTCCATCGAAGAATCAAAGAATACTGATGACATGTCCATTGATGAATTACAGGGTTCGTTGGTGGTACATGAGCAAAAGTTTCCAAGGTTGCGCAGTGAGGATGAAGAGCAAGTTCTAAAGATAGATTCAGGGTCTGGAACAAGGGGTGGAGGAAGATCATCCAGAGGCAAGGGAAGAGGAAGAATAGCCTTCAACAAGGCAACTGTTGAATGTTACAAATGTCACAATTTAGGACATTTTCAATATGAATGTCCAAGATGGAATAAAAGGGTAAATTATGCTGAAGAAGATGTAGATGAGTTGCTGTTAATAGCATATGAGGAGCTCCATGAAGACAAGAGAACTGATGTGTGGTTTTTAGATTCAGGATGTTCAAATCACATGTGTGGGAATCAGGGTATGTTTTCAAGCTTGGATACAACTTTCTCTCATACTGTCAAGCTTGGAAATAATACAGAAATGAAGGTGATTGGAAAGGGGGCTGTGAAACTATTTTTGAAAGGCATTAGCTATGTTATTGGTAACGTATATTGGGTGCCTGAACTCAAAAACAATCTTTTGAGTGTGGGTCAGCTGCAAGAAAAAGGATTGGGATTGCTGTTCAAAGATGGTGTGTGCAGCATCTATCATCCACATAAAGGAAAAATAGCGGAATCCATCATGAGTGCAAATAGGATGTTTAAGTTGATTGCTGATTCACCCACCACAGTAAAGGAAGAAAAGTGTCTGCAAATAAGCACCACAAATCAGTCCAAGCTTTGGCATCATCGCTATGGTCATCTTAGCTATAAGGGCCTGCGTACTTTACAAAGTAAAGAAATGGTGGTTGGTTTGCCATTAATTATAGATACAAATGAAATTTGTGATGCATGTATGAAAGGCAAGCAGCAACGCATTCCTATTCCCAAAAGGAGTCACTGGAGAGCAACAGGAAGACTACAACTAGTTCATGCAGATCTTTGCGGCCCAATTACACCGGCCATTAACAGCCACAAAAGGTATCTATTGTGTTTCATTGATGACTTTTCTCGAAAGACATGGATCTATTTTCTTTCAGAAAAGTCAGAAACCTTTTATCACTTCAAATGTTTCAAGACTCTTGTAGAAACAGAAACTGGAATGTCTATTAAGAGTTTGAGAACAGATAGAGGAGGGGAATTCAATTCTGCAGAATTCAATGATTTCTGTAAGCAACAAGGTGTGAAGAGACAACTGACAACAGCCTACACTCCACAACAAAACGGAGTGGCCGAGCGTAAAAATCGTACAGTAATGAATTTGGTGAGGGCCATGCTATCGGAGAAGAAAGTACCTAAGACTTTTTGGGCAGAAGCTGCTAGGTGGACAATTCATATCTTAAATCGATCATCTACTTTAGCTGTGAAGGATGTGACTCCAAAAGAAGCATGGAGTGGAAGAAAACCTTCGGTGGAGCATTTTCGAGTGTTTGGTTGTGTGGGACATGTCCACATACCAGATGCTAAGAGAACAAAGCTTGAAGATAAAAGTGTGAATTGTGTACTACTTGGGGTCAGTGATGAATCCAAAGGGTATAGAATGTATGATCCAGTTGCAAAGAAAATTATTGTGAGTCGTGATGTTATTTTTTCTGAAGACCGTATGTGGAATTGGGATGCAGATTATGGAAAAGAGCAGCTGATGGATTTAGAATGGGGAGACAACACTGAAATAATTACAAATGAAGAAGAAGAGGTGGAAGATATGAATGAAGCAGTAAATGAAGCACCAATTATTGAAGAGAATTTGACAGGAAGGGAGGGCAGAATTCGACATCCACCAGTATGGATGACAGACTACACATCAGGTGAAGGATTGTCAGAAGATGATGAAGTAAACATGACAAGCATCGCACTTATGGTGTCTTCTGACCCTACAAGCTTTGAGGATGCAGTTGAAAGCTCAAAACGGAGGCTGGCCATGGATGAAGAAATCAAATCAATTGAGAAAAACCAGACTTGGCAGTTAGTAGAACTACCTATTGGAGCCAAAAGGATAGGAGTGAAGTGGGTTTACAAAACTAAGCTAAACGAGCTTGGTGAAGTTGACAAATACAAGGCCAGATTGGTAGTAAAAGGTTACTCCAAACAATATGGAATAGATTATACAGAAGTATATGCACCGGTGGCTAGGATGGATACAGTGAGAATGATCATTGCTTTTGCTGCACAAAGAGGGAGGAATCTCTACCAATTAGATGTCAAATCCGCATTCTTGAATGGGGAATTGAAGGAAGATATGTTCGTGGAGCAGCCAAGAGGATATGAAAAGAAAGGAAGTGAACATATGGTCTATAAGTTACAAAAGGCTCTTTACAGACTAAAACAAGCACCTAGAGCTTGGTTTAGTAGGATTGAGTCTTATTTCATCGAGGAAGGATTCGAAAGGAGTCCTAGTGAGCACACACTTTTTCTTAAAAGAAAAGGAACAAAAATTCTAATAGTAAGCGTTTATGTAAATGATTTGTTGTTCACCAGTGATGATGAAGTAATGCTGTGTGAGTTAAAAAATTCTATGAATAAGCAGTTTGACATGACAGATTTAGGAAAGATGAGATTCTTTCTTGGAATTGAGGTGTTGCAAAGGACTGATGGTGTTTTTATATGCCAAAGAAAATATGCAGCTGAAGTTTGAAGTCGTTTTGGCATGAAAGAAAGCAATTCTGTTCGTAATCCAATTGTTCCTGGCCAAAAGATTGATCCGGATGAAGAAGGAACCAAGGTAGATGCAATTCAGTTCAAACAAATAGTCGGAAGCTTGATGTACCTTACAGCTACTCGACCTGATCTCATGTTTGTTGTAAGTCTTATTAGTCGTTTTATGGCAAATCCTACACAACTACATTTTGCAGTAGCAAAAAGAGTTTTGAGGTACTTAAAAGGAACTATGGATTATGGTGTTTTTACAAAAAAAGATGAGTAAGTGAGATGGTGGGTTATACTGATAGTGATTACGCTGGAGACAAATAGGACATCAAAAGCACTTCAGACTATGTGTTCATGATGTGTGGAGGAGCAGTAGCCTGGTCATCAAGAAAGCAACCCATAGTCACTTTATCAACCACTGAAGCCGAATTTGTAGCAGGAGTTGCGTGCGCTTGCCAAGCTATTTGGATGAGAAGAATTTTAAAGGAAATTGGTCATGAGCAGGCACATTGTACTACATTAATGTGTGATAATACTTCAACTATAAAGCTGTCAAATAATCCAGTTTTACATGGCCGCTCAAAGCATATACGAGTAAGGTTTCATTTTCTCAGAGATCTTACCAAAGATGGTGTTATTGAGTTAGTTTTCTGTGGGACTCAAGACCAACTTGCAGATTTAATGACTAAGCCTCTCAAGTCTGATGCTTTTGAGAAGTTTCGTGAGAAATTGGGTATGTGTGCTGCTGCAGATTTGAATTAATTGCTTAAGCAATGAGTTCAAGGGAGGGATTGTTGGAAGATTCTGACTGTTTCGAGAATTATTATTTAGAGTTTGTTAGAGTTATTTTAGCTAGTTTGATTTAGTCTTTGGTATTCAGTTAAATAAATGCTTAGTGGCCTAATTTTTAGCCTAATTTTTCGGTAGTTTTGTTATTTGGATGGCTCTTTTTAAAAGTCAGATTTATTCTTCAATAAAGCATTCCAGTTGGATGGCTCTGAATTGATGCAAAATAATGCTTATTTGGAACAATTATTCAATCACTCTTAATCAATCCACCGACGCTATATCCCAAGTCATTGAGTAATTAATCGTGTTCGTAAACGTTCGTATCATAATTTATGTATTGATTACTTTTCAAATAATCCTTTATATAAAGAAAAAAAATATTTCATCTACGATTTCAAATGTCTTGAAGTTTGCTACTTCGTATTGCTGATCTGGTTAAAAATCATGATTCATAGGTAATGTTGTATAACTAATAAAGATAACCAATTTGACCTGGACAAATAGTATAAAAAAAAAAAAAATTATTCAAAATAAATCAGACTCAAGACACACCCAAAGTGATTTGATCTGCTCAGATCGATCTACAGCAACAACTACGACCATAAATATTTTTAAGTTCTAATATTCCACAACAAGAATGAAGAAAATCACTTGTGTTTACTTTAAGAGATTTTTGTATAATTTTACTATTTCAATTTTTTTTAAAAAAAATATCAAATTAAACATATATTTTTATTTATTATATTATATTAAAATTTAATTTTATATTTAAAACATCATATCAAATAACCATCTCAATTCAAACTTTTACTCTTCAACCCTAAAATCCAAAATCTAAATATGTAAACTTAAAAAATGGAAGTATGCAAATTCATCATATAATTAAATTTTATTGACATATTGATGATCATATAAACTAACCCAAAGATCTTGCTCATCAAAGTAAACATATACTTCTATTGAAACACATTTCAAATAGCAGTTGTAAGTTCCCACGTCATCTAAAAAAATAAATTTCTCGAACCTATGCTGATTATGATACAATTTAGCAACAAGTATTTACGCATGCTCATGAATTTGACGACAAAAGTACCTTGAAGATGGTTTCACAAAGAGTTGCATTGTAGATTAAAAGGTGTCCGGCATTAGGTACCTCGTGGTAACGAATCCATGGGAGCTGCTGGGACAAATACCGGTTCAGCTTGTAAGAAATGAACCTGTCTTCATATCCTTGCCATAGATGAACATGGTCTTCATTGTCGGGGAAAGGATTGCGGATATCTGTTGGGTCAAATTCCCATTTCCCGAAACCCACAATCATGTCGCGATGAAGAGACTCATGAACACCTTGTTGCGTTACCTTTACCTGCAATGATCGAATGATATATGGAATTTCGGGCAAAAATTTGTCAAAGAAAAGAATTAAGGGTTGCAACTTTCTTAGTTTAACAATGCTAAGAATGTAAAACTTATTTTATTTTTCTAAAATTTCAAGGCTTTGTTCTTCTTAATTTTCTTCTCTCACGTTTTTCCAAAAATATTAATATACTAGACTTATTTACTATTTTTATATTCTCCATATAAAAAAATTTCTTTTTCAATATTCTCACAAAACAAACACACCCCAAAACTTTTATCTAAACGGAACTTAACTTAGTATTGCTCATTCCGTCCACCAAACTTATACTTACTTTTTATTTAAGCGTGTCGGCTAAACTTATGCTTATATAATAAAAAACAACAATTTTTTTTCGATTCACTTAAATATTATCCATAATTTAAATACATTGCAACAACAACTTTGTCACTGTTATCACATTAAGTGTATGCTATCAATTAAACATATTTAATTTCTCCAAATACCTCCGGTAACTTATATTTCTAAGTTCAAGATACTATGTTTTCATGGACGGAGGGAGTACTTGGTATTATAATTTTAACTAAAGATAAAATTTTTTAAAAGTCTATCTGGGAAATGCAACACATACCTGGCCCTCCTGGGGAGGTTCTGTGGACCGTCGTTTAATGATCTCCTGATCAGGCTCACTGAGAACATCGAAATTCCTTTGGGTGCGGAGACAGGGGAACCATTTTTGAGTCATCCACCAGTACAGTAGCCATGGAGCATAGTGTGCCACTCGAAATGCCCACTGGTTTTGGCGAAGCCGTTCCTCAAAGCATTCTTTGGCGAGAGCTGCCGGAAAGAACTTCCACCAATAGTTAACAAATGGAACAACAAGAGCAGCTCCTGCTATCCTTTAATATGAAAAACCAAAAGGTTATATGCAATTCCAAAACAACACCAATGATTCTGTTTCGATAACATGAGTTTAATTTAACAGAGAAGATGCATCATTTCATATCTTAATTATAGAGAACAAGAGATTGAAGTTACCTGTGTGGGATGTAATGTAAGCAGCTGTAAATCGAGTAAGCTCCCAAGGAGATGCCCACCACGAAAAATTTATTGCCAAGTTGCAATGTGTCAGCCAGTTCTTGAATGTCAAATGCTTCACTTTTCACCGATCTTGTAGGGTTCGGATCGCTTTCTCCATAGCCCGCACGGTCGAAGAACACAGCATATATTTGGAACTCGTTTATCAATTCCTGTAGAGCAACAAATGGGGGAAAACAACACAGATATAGCATAAACATCTTTGCACCCGAAGTAGTTATCCACAAGCAAGTTCCATAAAAATTTAAGCAGTAACTACACAATCACTTCCGAAGTAATTTCATTAAAGGAACAGACAATTAGTCCTATTATGTCGGCATGTTCTTTGTTCTGGCTATTCAAATTTATAGAAGTCTGGAACAGCATATTAATTAAGTTAAGGAGTTAAGAATGATCTTATATTGGCTACCTACTTCAGATAATGGCGGATCGAAATCCTTGGAGTCACCAAGGCCATGGACAATGACTATCTTAAACTTTGCTTCTTCCTTGGCAACACCCTTCTCCTTGTATGCCAAATGCCTTCCATCCCTAAGTTTAATCCTCGTCGAAGTCACCGGAGGGCCCCCTGGTGTGCCGCATATTTTGGGAGGCGGAGGCCTTATTGATAGGTAAGTGTATCCACAAAAGCCAATCAGTGCAGCAACTGCAATCTTACCAATCATATCTGGAAAAATTGCAGTTAGCATAATTCTTAAAATGAGAATGAACATCAAAGGTAAAATTGAGATTATGAACATTCGCAGCTCATTCATGATTCAAGCTTTCAGCTGATTGCAATAATAACATCTGCTCACTTCCTACTATGTTATAATTTCTTAAATCTGATTTACTGAGCTGTCACTACGAGGAGATAGTTGAGGGAAATCATACCCTGAAGAAGATGAATTTTCAGAACTCAAACGCAATGAAACTTAAAATTTTCCGATCGATTGAGGTAATTAAAGCAGAATTCCTAGCTAACACCAAACACAAATTCACACTGGAAATATCTGGAACAACAATCCCCAAATTTTGCCTCAAAGCTAGTTCGAAGCCCGTAAACATTTACTAGCGAAATAGAAAAATAGTAGTAGGAAAGCAATCGACGAGATTGAAGCAAGTATAAATAGAGAAAGGAAAGTGTAACCACCTCAACCCTATCCGACAGGCAATTCGCACAGCTGAATCCTGAATCCTCTTCTGCGTGTCATTCCCACTGTGAAGTGATCAACGAAGAAAGTCAATTTACTACCAGTCCTTCTGTCTTCATCAGTTACAGTGCTATGTTTTATTGCAGGGATTTTTAGGAATTTTAAATTTTAAATTAATTTTTAATATAATATAAAAAATAAAATATAATCTTCGAGATTTAGTGACACACGAATTAAGAAAAATAATATTTTATTAATTTTTTTAATAATAGTTATGATATTTTTAAAAATATAAATAAAAATTATAAAAAAATATATTAAAGTGAATGATATTTATTATAAATAAATATTTTAAAAAAATAATAATTAAATATTATTTTTTTATTTTTCTTTAATATAGTATCTAGGTAAATTTAATGGCCGAACAAAAATAATTGAAAAAAATAAAAATAAATTTAAAGGACATATGAAATATTTAATTTGATATTTTTAAATAAAAAAATTTAAGTAATAATAAAAATTTGGGAAAATGTCCGAAAAGAACACCCTTGCATGCGCATATTCTTCATGCTCCCTCACTCATTGATTCATTTTCCGAAAGCTTTGGGCCTTAGCACACTCTTTATCATTTTGGGCTTTTTGTCTATTTGGGCTCAACTATTATGAATCTTCTTGAGTTTTTTCAGGATTTACTTGTCTAGATCGTTTGATTAGGCCCGTTATGTCATTTCGGATTTTCTTCGACATTTAAGGTTAAAATTTAGGCTTTGTTCTACTTGTGAAATTTATATTTCCGTTTTACTATTCCATTTTTTTTCTCCAAAAATATCAAATTAACCGCCTATTTTTTTATTTATTATATTACACTAAAATTAAATTTTACATTCAAAATATCACATCAATACATATTTATATCACATCAAATTACTATTTAAATTCAAAATTTTACTATTCAAAAACCAAAACTAAAAACCAAAATCTCACAAGTAAATACACCCTTATTTTTTAATTACAATTCCAAAAAATAAAGGCATAATTTGTTTGTTTACTGTATGAGAATATAAATGTGTTGTTAGTTCATGTATTGTATTTGTATTATATTAAACATATAAAATGAACTGTGTGCATGGGGTGTGGTGTTAGATAACACACGGTATGTTTCTTAGTACAATGATAAAATTTAAATTCAGCGTTGCGGCCTTTTCTAGCTAACTATTTGTATCATATTCCCTCCGTCCTCTAACTATTGTCTTACTTTTCTATTTAGGACGTCGAACAACTATTGTCTTATTTCTTTTTTTTAAACACAAATTTTACATTTTTATCCTTCATTCATTTAGTACTTTTAATCTCTATCATACAATTAAGGCCAAATTTGTCAATTCATGATAAAAAAAAATAATCATCTAAAAAATTGTACAAATATACTTTAGGATAATAGAAATTGGACGGAGGAGGTATTAAATTTGTACTATTATTAAATCTCAAACCCAAATCTCCTCCTTAAGGAAACAGACCCTAATATCCTACTGCAATTTGGGTTGATCCGACCCACCAATTCTAGGGTCGGATTGTCATCACCATTGCAGATAATATCTACATCCAATGTACATTACGTTACATACAAAACTCAAATCCATCATTCAGATCTACATATATATATACACATTGTCACACGATCGCCATTGAAAGAGAGAGAGAGAAGAAGAATGAGCAGTAGCAGTGATCCATTAGTGAGTGGGAGAGTGATTGGGGAAGTGGTCGACAACTTCAACACCACAGTCAACATGGAAGTCGTCTACAAATCCAAATCCAAAAAGCAATGGTACAATAGCAAGCAACAGTGTGTGAGTTATGTCCCCGTCGTCGTTCGCAATGACCATGAGATCTTCCCTTTCACTCTCACCTCCAAACCTAGGGTTCAAGTTCTTGCTGCTCATTTCACTACATTCTTCACACTGGTAATTAATTAATTAACTAATTATTTGCTAAACACACACAATTTATTATTATCTTTTTTTTTTAAATATTAATTAAATCGAATTGATTGATTATTATGTTAGCACAGATCATGACAGACCCTGATGTTCCAGGTCCAAGTGATCCATATCTTCGAGAACACTTGCACTGGTAACAACATATAATAGTAACTCATTAATCTTTAATTTAGAATTTGTTTGGCTGTAGTTTGAAATTAATCTGAAGTAAATTGTATTTTGATTTGATATTTTAAAAAAAAATAATTACTCCCTCTATCCCATTGAAACGTTGCTATTTTCCATTTTCTTCCGTCCCAAAACAAGATTATCATTTCCTAATTTAATAATTGTACTGCCTATTTAACATAATAAATACCCTTACAACTTACACTATATTACACAAACGTCATTACTTTTATATTACACAATATTAATAGGGGCATTTTCGTCGTTTTCACTACAACTCATTATAATACTAATATTAAAAACTCTATGTGCAAAAAGGAAACGACAATCTTACACCGCGACAGAGAAAGTATATTTTTATTGAAAAATGTACATTGTAAATGACATTCAATTTGAAATCACAAAAAGAACAAAATTTTTTTATCACTATATATATATATATATATTACTCTACAAGGTTGTAATTATATATCACTAAATTTCTCCCTATCCCGTTGTCAATAATATTTTTATTTGTCAATTTGTTCATGAAAATGTTTTTATAAGTTTGAGAAAATTAATGTTGTAGTTCCCTTACGGCGCTATAAGAGCATCCGCAACAGGCACATCTCCTCCGGAGGAGATGCGCCACCTCATCATTTTTTTTAAAAAAAAAATTAATAGAACCGTGCTTCCCAGCATCTCTGCACGATTCTGCATAGATGCTGGGAAGATGTGATTTCATTGTCATGTGTCCCAATTTAGATATGTATATTATATGTATATATAAATAATATACTCCCTCAGTCCATTTACAAGGATTACATTTACTTTTCGCGCAGTGTTTAAAAAATTATAGTTGAGTGGTTAAAAGTAGTGTAATGACATTTTCGTCCTTACTTTTTTTTTTTTAAAAGTAATGATGTGATGTAAAGTAAGGGTATTTGTGGAAAAAAATAGGGTATTTAATGAAATGTAAACTTTGTAATTGGACGTCTCAAAATAGAAACATGTAAACTTTGTAAGCGGACGGAGAGAATATATTATATATGTTTTGTTTTTGTAATTTATATTGAATTTATTATAATATTTAAATTTTGTAGTATTTTTTATAATTCATAATATTTTGTATATTCCACAAAATGATATCAATATTGAATATATTTTATCAATTTGAAATTTAAAATATAAAAATACAAATTTGATATTAAAATTAAAATTTAAAAATAAATTAAAACTAAATTTAATTAAATCATAAATAATACTCCCTCCGTCCAGCTAGAAAGTATACATGTTTCTATTTTGGGACGTCCAATTACAAAGTAAACATTTCATTAAATACCTTACTTTTTTCCACAAATACCCCTACTTTACATCACATCATTACTTTTACACCAAAAAGCAAGGGCAAAAATATCATTACACTACTTTTAACTACCCACTATAATTAAAATACTATTATTTCTTAAACACCGCGCCAAAAGTAATTGTATACTTTTTTTGTGGACGGAGGAAGTATAACTTTTTTTCCATAATTTTTTAATAAATCGAAATATTGACAAATAATAATATAATATAATATAATAATTAATACTAAAAATTAAAACTATAATTAAAAATTAATATATATATAATATGAAAATAAAAATTTATTAAAAAATTAAGATGAATATCTTTGTTGCGAATATAAAATAGAAGAGAGTATCTCGACGCTGACGTAACAGAGAGAAAAAGTGACGTGGATAACAAAAAGTAGTGGAGATACCCAAAAGCAGGTATCTCCATTGCGGATGGTCTAACTAAACCTATTATTTCTTCTTTTAAGCTTTCCAAAATGTTACATGTGAAAATCAAATCTCCTAAGTATGAGCAATTAGAACTAAAATTAAATCTAAATTATTCCATCTCCTCACTAATTCAAGTTTATATATAACCCTTGGCATCATTCTTTAACATAATTAATTATTGACATCATCAAGTATCAAAATTATCGACATCTTGTATTGCAGGGTGATCACAGACATCCCGGGCACAACGGATTCATCTTTTGGTAGGAAACCTAAGATTAATCCATGTTATAACTAAACAAATTCGAATTCGCACAATGATCTTCATTAACTAGCTTCAATTTGTTCGAATTTGTATATATATATATATGAGTAGGAAGAGAAGTTGTGAGTTATGAAATGCCGAGGCCAAAAATTGGAATACATCGATACATATTCTTGTTGTACAAGCAAAAGAATCGGCTACAAGTGTCGTTGAGCCTCCCTATTAGCCGAGATGGATTTTGCACGAGGAAATTTGCCGAGGATTACGAATTAGGCCTCCCCGTGGCAGCCGTTTTCTTCAATTGCCAGCGCAAAATAGCTCCAAGGAGGCGATGATTAAATAATATAATCATATCGATATTATATTAGGGTTAGGGTTTTTTTTCTTAAGAAAGAGTTTTCAAGTGAATTCTTGGGAGACTATTTTCAGCTAGGAAATTATATCCTTTTAAAGATATGATAAAGGGATTTAATTCCTATTTTATCTTAGATATTAAAATAGTAATTTGAATACATATATCCTAAGTATCACAATTAATTAATGTGAATCAACATAGTAATGTAAATTATTACCTAAAATTTAACAATTTAGAGTGACTTAATGTTACCTAAATTCATTAGGTTTTGACTGGCAAAAGCAATGCCCCATTTTACTTGAGTCGATGCATGCAATTCACAAATTGAACTTATTCTCTTATCATATGATAATTACTAAAGTGAAGAAAAATAAAAAAAAAAAAATCATCAGTTTTGCTACAGATATTTATGGCTGAGCTTCCAAAGTTGAATCAATACTTTCAACATTTTGTTAAGAGCATGTTCTCTCCGTCCTAAAACTATAGTTTGGGTTGGGTTTGATACGAGATTTAAAGAATATTAATATTATATTAGTAGTGAGTAAAATGTACGAGTAAAAGACTTTTTTGCCCTTGTGAGTGTATTAGTGTAAAAAGTAGTGGCAATTGTGTAATAATAATGAAAAAATAAGCAGTTTTATAAGGATATGGTTATTTATGAAAATGAGACTATTGTTTTGGGACATACAAAAATGGTAAATATAACTATTGTATTTAAACGGACGGAGTATTATAAATACAATACATGAACAAACATCACATAAATTAGTCTACACAATATATGTTACCGTTGATTTTTAGTATATATATATATACATATATATATTGATACAACAAGTCTATATATTGACGAACATGTATATTTTAATTTACAAATAATACATCATGGGTTATATTAAAATAAAAATATTTAGTATTATTTATATTTTGAATGCAAGCTTATTTTCCTAAATGTGTAGTGAGGTCTTATAACTAAGAGATATATATTTTTTTTTATTCTTCTTAAAATATTAAATATAGTTAAATTAGTTATCAAAATTGTTATACATATATACATGTTCGAACTTAAGGGCATTTCTCTCCGTCTTATGAAGAGAATACATTTGTTTAATTCTCTGCGCGGAAAATTAAAATTAGGGCACGTAAAAGGAGATCGTGTTGGACCGTTGGTTGTAATCAATAATGTGATGATTACCCAAATCAACATATGAAAAATAGTTATATATATACTCCCTCCGTCCAGTTAGAAAGTATACATGTTTCTATTTTGGGACGTCCAATTACAAAGTAACCATTTCATTAAATATCCCATTTTTTCCACAAATACCCCTGCTTTACATCACATAATTACTTTTATACCAAAAAAGTAAGGGCAAAAATGTCATTTCACTACTTTTATCTACCCACTATAATTAAAATACTATTATTCTTTAATATACGCGCCAAAAGTAAATGTATACTTATTTTGTGGACGGAGGGAGTATTACATAAGCTCGTTTAACTCAACACAAGTTTGTTATATAAATATTGCAATATCTCGTCGGTTTATATACTCCCTCCGTCCATTTATAAGAGTTACATTTACTTTTGGCGCGGTGCTTAAAAAATAATAGTATTTTAATTATAGTGAGTAGTTAAAAGTAGTGTAATGACAATTTTGCCCTTAATTTTTTGTGTAAAAGTAATGATGTGATGTAAAGTAAGAGTATTGTGGAAAAAAATAGGGTATTTAATGAAATATAAACTTTGTAATTGGACGTCCAAAATAGAAATATGTAAACTTTGTAGGCAGACGGTGGGAGTATTATATTTGTATTATTTAACTTATATTTTATGTTTTTCTATTTATATTTTATATATTGTCTGTCATATGCTATAGTGTGAGCACAATACTATAAATAAATTTATTCAGCACTGGTGGCCTAACCCATTGGTTCCTCATCCAATTTAGAATTGATATTGCTTCATCTTACACAAATCGTAAACTCCATAACTTTTTAATATATATATATATATATATATATAAAAGTAAAAGAATAAGAGTGTGTTTCCTTTGGTTGAGTTTGGAAAAAATTAGTTTGGATTCTGTATTAAAATAATATTTGATAGAATATTTAATTTAAATAGTAAAATTTGGGAAAATTTGAGTAAAAAAATATACCCTAAATTAGTTAGGGATTGAATTTTTTATTTTGTTTATTATTATTATTATTATTATTATTATTATTATTTTGAGCCATGAACCCTAGTTTGCATTGTACTAAAACCTAAATCATTGCATTGATGTCCTACCTAAGAATAGTGTAATAAGATGGCAAGTATGGTAGCCCAGTACACCGTATGATGACTATCCTTTTACCTTACGAATAATACTCATATTAAACTTGTCGTCTACCAATGTTCCAAGATGATTTTGTTATGTATCATATATATAAATATATATATATATTGAATTAAAAAAAAAAAAAAACCTATGGCAGCCACATAAAATATTTTTACTGCTATTATATTTTTCAAATTTCAGTTTAAAAAAAAAATACTTCATTCGTCCCTAAATAATATTACATCCGTCTAGCTACAAAGTATACAATGATTTTTTTGTGTTAGTATTTAAATATTAATCATTACATCAAAACGTAGTACAGATAAAGAGAAAATGACAAAAATACATCTAGTGGTCTCTTATAATACAAATACAACCATAATTTTGTAGTAAGATATACAAATATATAAGGATATTTTTAATATTAAATACAAAAACATATGTTTACTTTTTTGTTGGACGGAGGTAGCAATATTATATTAAAAGTGTGTACAAAATAAATAGTGAAAGACTAAAATATCATTATTAGTGTATTTGCATAAAAAATAATGATATTTGTGTAATAATAATGAAAAAATAAAGATAATTTTAAGACGATATGCTTATTTTTTAAAATAAAACTATTGTTTTGATAGGAACGAAATTAAAATAAAAAAATATTACTATTATTTTACAACGCTGAGAGTATAAAAGTACATATAGCTATTAGTATAAAATTCTAATGAGTTTGGACACAAATCATAAAAAATACAATAAATTATCCTTCACTTAATTACAGCCATAGTGAACAAAAAGAGCGACATTCTTGTCATACTTAAAGAGATTAGGTTGTGTGTGTGTCAATTTTTTATTTTTTTTTTTTTCAAAAATATCAAATTATATCAATATCTATTTATATCATATTAAACAGCGATTTCAATTCAAACTTCTACTATTTAATTTTTTTTATTTTTTTATTTTTTTAAAGTAATCCACAAACAAAGAATTGTTTCTACTTGAACTCAGAAGTTCACAACATAACAAAAACTACTGTATGTATATGATATTTTGGGAATCTTTACACAATTGATGCAAGCATACAATCTATCAATATGCATGTGTTAAATTAAATTAATCTTCTCTTTTAATTCCTAATAGCAATAATTTGAGTTGATTTGATTTGATTTTATTTTATTTTATTTTACCCTAGAAGAATATATATATATATTTCAATTTTAATCCGTCTGGTAACAAAGTATTCATTTCCTTTTTTACTAATTGTACTGTCTACCTAACATTACAAATACCCTTACAACTTACAATATATTACACAAATACCATTACTAAATATCATACATACTAATAAGGTTATTTTAATCATTTATACTTTATTCCTACTATATCTCAATATAATACTAATATTTCTAAAACTACTTGTGCAAAAAAAGAAATAGATATTTACTTATGGAAGGAGGGAGTATTTAATTACCAATTTATTACTATTATTTTTATTTACTAAAATGACATTCTACATCTACACTTCACTCTTGATCTCATAAATTTCAAATATATTTTTTAGATTTTTTAATTTTATACAAATTAATTTATTAATATGATGTTAATTTTTTTTTAAAAGAATTTACTATAAAGATCTTTTAAACCAACACAAACAAGACGGATAAAGTAATAAAGTAAAATCTTATTACTCCCTCCGTCCCATATAATTTCTCCCTATTTTCTATTTTCGTCTGTCCCACATAACTTGTCATTTCTATTTTTGGAAATATAATTATGCACTTTAATCGCATTTTAAATTTTAAATTTTATAATTTTCTTAATTTTAATTAAATTATTTACTTATCTTAATCTTAATTTATAATTATTTTTACTAAATAATAATTATTTTTACTAATATATTTTTTAATTACTTACTAATTATATTTTGCCTAAATTTCCGTGTCTACAGTAATACACCCGTATTATATGGGACGGGGGGAGTATTATTATTGTAAAAATAGGGTTAATGAATTAGGACAAGACAGGAGAGGGCAGGCGTTTGATATCCGAAAGCATGAAGTACATGCGTTAACGGTTTTTCTGGCTTTTTTTTCGCTATATATGTACTGTACATTCATTATTCTTTCACATCCTTTATATATATATATATATATATATATACTTATTTCGTTCCAGTAATGATAAAAAAAATAATTAATAATATATCAATAATATTAAATACAATATAATATAATTATAATTAAAATTAAGATAACTAATTAGTTTGATACAATGTTAAAAAATTTATAAATTATAAAATTATAAAATACAATTAAAACGTTAAATATTTTTCCATTTTGGAAAAGTAATATAATATGTGGGATGGAGGGTGTATATACTAATTATCAATAATAACTTTTTATGAAATTATATTAAATACTTATTTATTTTTTACAAAATATAATATTCTTTCCGTCCTATTGGAAGGGTATCATTTGTTTTTTTCACGTAGATTTTTTAATATTAGTATTATATTGAATTATAGTGAAAAAGACAAAAATACCCCTATTAGAATGGTGTAATATAAAAGTAATGGAATTTGTGTAATATATTGTAAGTTGAAAGGGTATTTATTATGTTAGGTATGTAGTACAATTATTAAATTAGAAAATGGTAACCTT